AATGAGCACCTATTTATGTTCACTAGGATTCTGTGGCCTACAAAGCTCCAAAAGCATTGTTGTTTACCCTCACAAAGGCTCAGTGAAGTAGGGAGGGCAGGCACACTCATCCCTATTGTGAAGTGAAGTGAAGTGAAAGTCACTCAGTCCTGTCTGGCTCTTTGCAACCCCATGGACTGTACAGTTCATGGAATTCTCCAGGCCAGAATACTGGAGTGGGTAGCCATTCCCTTCTTCAGGGGATCTTCCCAACCCAGGGATTGAACCCACGTCTCCCGCACTGCAGGCAGTTTCTTTACCGACTGAGCCACCACTCATATTGTACAGATGGGCAAATGCAGGCCCAGATTGAAAGGATTTGCCTACAGACTCAACTGAATTTAGATGCCAGGCTCTAATGACCTCCAGCCCTGTGCTTGTTCTGTGATTCTGTTCCTGTGTGCAGCCAGGTGAGAGAAGATCAGAAAACTGTAAATTCAGGGGAGAAAGTGTCCCTCTTCCATACCCTCCCTCCTTCCCTCCCTTTCTTCCATTGTGCTGGACCCTGGTGAACAGACACAGCCCAGGCCCTCGTAGACCTCAGAGTCCAGTGAAGACATGACATCTAACCAGGCTTTTATAAGCCAGGGTGCTGGCGGCCATGCTGGAGAGGCTCAAGGCAGGAACACCTGACCCAGCCCCGGGAATCCCGGTCAGCTGTCAAGGAAGCGACACCAGTCTGACCTCCATTCCTGCTAACTCCTCAGTTCTAGCCCTGCCGCCTCCCAGAGACCTCAGATCCCAACGCCTCCCATAAGCTGCCTTGCTCTGTGTGCCTGTCCAGCTCCTGGTTCACATCCAAGGGCCCTGAGAGACCCCTGGTGCCTGGCCCTGGACTTCAGCTCCATCCCAATGGGGATGGTGGGTTGCGGGTTGCTGCCTTGGGCTTGAGTTGAGCTCTCTCCTCAGCGGTATGCCCGCTTTCCATCTAGGAATCCACCCTGAGTGATGATTCCACACCCCCCAGCAGCAGCCCCAAGATCCCAAGTGGTCCCCGGCAGGCGGCCAAGTGTTCCTACCCCTACCACACTCTGTCCCAGTCTTCCGATGAGGTAAGCAGGCCCTGACCTCTGACACAGGCGGGGGGGCCACAGGGCACACCTTGCCCCTCACTCTCCTTGGTCTCCACCCCAGTTTCTGGATGAGCCTCTTCCCACCGTCTACCACTGGACCAGTCAGCAGGTGGGCCAGTGGCTGCAAAGCCTCAACCTGGAGCAGTATGCTGCTGAGTTTGCCGCGCGGCAGGTAGATGGGCCGCAGTTACTGCAGCTGGATGGAAGCAAACTGAAGGTGGGTTGGGGTGGGGGGACCACCACCCAGTTGGATCCCTGAGGCAGCCTTCAAGGATTGGGATCGCCTCATCCTGACCTTTCCACTCCCTTTAAGGCCACTGCCCTGACCTCTGACCTCTAGGCAAGATCCTTGATCTTTGCTCTCTAGCATGGATTCCCTCCCAGTCTTGACTCCAGCCCAATTCCTCAGTCTGACCTTCGAGCTCCAGCCAAAGTCTTCAGGTTGACCTCTGACCTTGAGGACTAGCCTATCATCTGACTCTTGACTCTAATGAGCCTCCCCTGGTCATCTCATCTGAATTTTGGAGCCTTCATCTCTAAGACTAAAAATCTTGGAGGCTGGTGGTTGTGGGAGGCAAGTAGAGGGAGGGAGGGAGGGTGTCAGAGGTGGTGCTCTGATCTCTGTTCTGGGGGTTTCTGGCCTGTTTTGCACCATCTGCTGAGTTGCTTGGGGAAGCAGTGGTGAGGAGAGTCCCCCAGAAGTCTTTGGAAAAGGAAGGGGCCTCAGCTATTGACGGGCTGTGTGGCCTCGGACAAACTCGCTTCCCATCTCTGGGCTCAGGAACCAGGCAGGGTTATTCCAAGGCTGAAATCCTGAGTGGAGGGATGGGAGCCAAGGATTAGGGTGGGGAAGGGGCAAACGGCCTGGAACCCTGCACCATTTACCCTCATCTCTCCCAGCCACTCCCATTCCAAATTTCTGCCCCGAGGGTCCTGATCCATCAGCAAGCCTGGGAGGTGGAGGCTGAGGGCTGGCAGAGCTCCAGCGAGAATACACCTGGGGCACAGAGAACCCCGGGCGTGGGTTGGCCAGGTGTCGGGCTCTGGGGCTCTTCACTTCACCCTTGGATTCCTCCAGAGTCTGGGGCTCACCAACTCGCACGATCGGGCACTGGTGAAGCGGAAGTTGAAGGAGCTGGCGGCGGCCGCTGAGAAGGAGCGCAAGGCCCAGGAGAAGGCTGCACGGCAGCGTGAGAAACTCCGGCGCAGGGAGCAGGAGGCCAAGAAGAGCTAGGCAGACGGGAGGGCAGCCACTGGTACCCAGCACTGAAGCTGCTGGGCTCTGCGGGCACAGGCCGTCTTAGGAGGCGGGGCCTGGGCACCAGGCTTGGGTTGGCCTGGCTCCATGCTCTCAGGAGGAACAGCCCTCACCCTGTCATCTGTCTGGACCCAGACCCCTCAGAAAGAGAGACCCAGGGGAGAGGACCCAGTAATAAATCCCCTTGCAAGGACTTTTGGGCACAAAGTTCCTGGGGGAAGTGGCAGATTATGGGCAGAGAGGCCAGGGCTGAAGCAAATCAGGGAGCCCAGAGGTGCCTGAGTGATTCTGACCCTGTTCCCACTGACCCCCCTGGGGGGGGGGGTCCTGGGGCTGCCAGTGAACTAGGAAGCCTGCATACTTTCCAGAGGCCCTGGGCTCGATAGATGGGCTGAGCCTCTCTGCAGCAGCAGGTGGATAAAGTAGTTCCTTTCCAGCTCTCCCAGGTGACTGCGTGTCGAGAGAGCTCTGCAGGAGGCTGGTGGGCCTGCAGCAAGTTGCACTCAGAGCAGACTCCTAGTCTGCCCTCCTCAACAGGAGAGGAGAGAAAGCAGCACGATTATCCTGTGTCATCTTTGCAAGGGCTTTAGAAGGAAGGGAGGGCTTTCAGTGGTAAAATGATGCCCTTGCAGGTCTGCCCCTCCTGAGGCCCACACCAAGCCTGGGTTTTGACCGACTCTCCAAGTTGGGCCCACTTCTGCTGCTCCTGCAGAGGCCGCCTGGACCCTCCCTGAAGATGGCAAACTTGGGAACTGGTGGGGACAAATGACACCCCCATCAATGCCTAGATGGCCCTTAACTGGTGAATCCTCACCTCAGCCAGGCAGAGAGGCAAAATCTGGGAGGCCCCCTGAAAGCTGCTAAATTGAAAAGGTTCATCAGCCCTCCCCAGCCTGTCCTGGTTCTTAACAGGGCCTCGGTGGGCTCCAGAACTGGCAGACAGGAGGGGTGGGGCCCGCTCCCTGGGTTGGGGTGGAAGCCATCCCAGCAGCCCAGGGAAGATGTCTGTCCTTCTAGGGTGAGTGTGTCCAGTGTCCAGGCATTGTGCTGGCCAGTGGCTAGCCCAGCCTTTGCAGCACTGGCCAGAGTTAGCAGTAAGGTCAGAGGCCTCAGACAAGAAACCTCCCTTCACCTCCTCCCACCAGCCTGGAGCAGCAGACAGGCCCCCATATACACCCACTCCCCTCAATCCAGCCCAAGGGCTGTGGCTGTGACCCCTGTTCTCTGGGTCTTAGTTCTTTTTTCCTTTCTGCTATCTGTGCTGGGAGAGGGGCTTCAGAGGGGGGACTGGACGTGGGGGCACTAGTACCACCTGGGCCCCAGAGGGGGCTGGTAGGGAGGATGGAAAGCTCCCAAGTCCTTGAAGCCATCAGGAGCTATCTGGGTGCCCACCTGCATGTGAAGGGGTAGGCGGTACTTAGTTTCTTTCAATAAACACTTATGACGTGCCAGTGACCTTCCTGTTTGCCCCAGCTTGGGGGTGGGCTGGGCTCTAAGTGTGGCAGGGCCCCAGGTCTGTCACTGGGAGCTGCACCGTCAAGAGTTCTGAACGGACGGCTGTGGCCACTGTTGCACTTGGCATGCACTGGGTCAAGTCCGGAGCACGTCTCGTGTTGGTCACAGGGACTGCAGTCTGCATAAATTTGTACAAGAGGATCTCCCTCCCCCAGGAAAGCAGATGGGCCGCAGTCTCATTCCATCTCCTCTTTACTGTAGATGTCACTGTCACCATCATAGCCACTGGGAGGAGCACACAACTTTAACCCCCTGTGTGCTAAGGGGAAGGGTAGGGGCATTCGGGGCTATAAAACTAGCTATATACACACAACATTCTAGGGAGAGAGCCACCCCAAGCACACGCCGTGTCCAGGCACAGTGGGAGTTGGGGTCTGCTCAGGGGGGACCGTGGGCGATGTGTAGGTGTATGCACATGAGGACATGCAGGGGAAGGGCTCTGGAAGTGGCAGAAACATTGCTGGGGTTACCGACAGGGAGGAGAGGCTGGGTGGCTGACCTCTGTGTCCTCCCAGATTATTCGGCTTTAGGGGTGAGCCCCAGGTGAGAAACCCCTCCCTCCTAACTTTGACCTTAGAGAGGAGGGAGAGACTATAGGACCAGATCCCCAGTCAGGGGTCCCCTCCCACTACCCCAGATGTGGCAGGCACCTAGCCCCTTCCCGACACTGACACCAGACCAGCGCCAGGGTACCGGCATGGGCCAGGACAGTAAGGCAAGCAGGGGCGTCCACTTGGAAGGCCAGGGCTGTGGTGGGCAGTGAGGGGGACCGAGGGCCCCTGGCAGAGAAGTGGCAGCTCTGGGCTCAGAGAGGAAGACTGCCATGGAAACGTATCTCTGGAACACCCCATCAGGATGGAGATATCCTCCAATCCTCAGGCATTGCCCACAGAGAATGGACCCAGGGAGACCACCAAGGGGTCTCCATGGAGACAGAGATTGGCACTTAGGGGACACCACAGACTAGTCACTGCAGTGATTTCCAAAGAGACAGAAGCTGGTCAACAGGGAGAGCCTCCTGCACCTGGGGGGGCAGGGAATGGGGAGGGTCACCATGGTGGCCAGACCCAGAGACAGCAGTCCATTCTCCTGGGTGTAGGTGAGTGGGGCAGCTCCTAGCTCACACGGTACGTGGACGTGTTCTTGGGCTCCGTGCTGGGCACACACCAATCGCCGGCCTCCTGGATGGTCTGGTAGTGGCGCCAGGCTGACTTGTTGTAGACAGGCAGGCGCTCCACTGAGTCCGTGGACAGGGCCTGAGGGGCATCAGGGTCAGTCTCTTCTGCTTTTCTGCACCTTTCCCACCCCCTGGAAGACCACCCTTGCCCAACGGTGGGCTCCAGTGGCCACTAACTGTGGCCCACATGTCAGCCCAGCCAGGCGCTACACTGGCTGAGATGACTAAACCAGAAAGACCCATGAAAGTGTCTGTCCCTTCTGTGGCTTGCTCCTGCCCGTTTAAAAAGGCTGTTCACTTTAAAGGTCAGGGAGGGAGAGGGAGGAGGCCAGCTGTGTGACCTTGAATAAGGTCACCAGCTCTGGGCCTCAGTCGCCCCCTGAGCTGAATGAATTCTCCATGGTTCCTCACAAGTCAAGGCTTCCCAGAACAGGGTCTTTACTCCTGCACCACAGACTCCCTGAAACTGCCTGCCAACTTAGGAGCGTCTGGTGGCTGGGGAACTGTAGCTCTGCTCTGATTCTCAGTCTGAAATCAGGAAAAGATTGGAGGGATGGAAAAGAAACCTAAGAACAGGCCCGACCTGTCAGCAACCCACCCCCACCCCTTGGGTGGGGTTTGCAGGCAGGGGCCCTCACCTTGAGATAGATGACAGCATCGGTCCCAAAGCCCTCCATGGAGAAGAGCTGCAGGTCCCCCTGGAAGTACTTGGCATAGAGGCGGGAAATGGGGAGCCCATACCCGAAGCCAGCCTGCAAGGAGGTGAGAAGGGAGTGCAGTGAGACACTGGGCCTGGGCTCCCTGGAGCTGCAGGGACCTATATGCTGAGTGAGGACGGCTCAGCTGGGGTCGTAGAGGGGGCTCCCAGCACCAGGGTGAGGAGGGGACAGGAAAGAGGGACAGCTCGGAGACAAGATGGGGACGGTCGGGAGAGGGGAATCAGTCCAGTGGAGAGAGGAAGGATGCAGGGCATGGTGGGGGTGGGGAGCATGGCAGGGCAGGAGAGGAGGCTGGCTCTGGTAGTTAGGGGTCTGCACAGGTCACCGGGCACCTCTTTGTCTCTATTTCCCACACTTAGCCCCGCCTATTCCACTGGGAATGGACACGGAGGTGCTGGTGAGCTGAATAATGCCAAGAGAGAGGTAGTTACTTGTGAAGAGAGAGAGAGGACAGGGATAACTGAGGAAAGGTGACAGAGAGACACCCACTGATAGGTAGGGAGGTGCAGGCTGGGGAGAGGGAGGAGGAACAAGGAGGCCCAGACTCCGAAGAGGGAACTGACATCACACACAGCCTACAGCCTCCCATGGAGGGACCATGGGAGGTAGGGAAGCAAGTGATGGGCACGAGTGACAATTTGATAAGAAGAGACAAGAAGACTGACACGCATTCTTCAGGCTGGGGGGAACTGGAGTGAAGCCAGCTCACCAGTGGGGTTCCCCCGGTGCCAGGCTGGGGCATGGGAGCTGTGGAGTACATGTAACTGAAGAGTCGCTCAATCTTCCTCAAGGGAACACCCCCACCTCGGTCACTCATCTGGGGGAGACAGGAAGTGTCAGGGTCTCTAGAGCTCAGTTTTCTCCACACCCCATCCCTGATCTTCTCAGGTCTTCCTCACCCCCAGCGTCTTCCCTAAGCCCATCTCCTGGCAGGAGGGAAGTCTCCATACCACTGCTCTCTGGACCTCAAAGTCAAGGGTCACATACTTTGATGGAAAGATCTTCCTCGCCCAAGGCCACCATGACCTTGATAGGTGGAAGAGTGAGGCTGGATTCATGGCTTTCCACAGTTGCTCGCATGGCATTCTGTAGTGGAAAACATGATAAGATACAGTGAGAGCAGCCTAGACCTAACCACCCCCCACCCTCACAAAGGAATATCCCCCAGTCTCCTCACCTTGAAGAGTTCAAAAAGCATGTGGTAGAGGTGGGAGGGGACATAAACCATGTGAATTGGCTGTTTGGAGTTGCATGCTGCCAGGGAAGTCCAGACCAAAGATCAGGAGATTGTCAAAAGGTCACCATTCAGCATTCATTCACCAGCATCTAACATCCAGCACTCAACCACCATCCATTGTCCATCCATCTGCTCATTCATTCATCCATCTATTCATTCACTGTGTCCATTCATCCATTTACCTCTCCATGTAATATCCATCTATCATACACTGTCTATCCATCCACCCACCCAGTATCCACCCATTCATCAATCATATCCATTCAACATCTATTCATTCCTCTATCTACACATCCAACCATCCAATTGTCCTTCAGTCTATTCATCTGTTCAAATGTCTATCTTTTCGATCTATCCATTCATTCAGAGTACAGATCCATCCTTCCATTCATCCACTGTTTATCTATCCATCTATTCATCATTTATCCACTCAAATAGTATCTATCTATCTATGCTACACTTAGCCTACTAGCATTCACCTTGATACCAGAATCCCCTGGAGAGCTTTTTCACCCAGGGGAGAGGGGAGGGGGTTACCCAGGTGATCCTGACACCAGCATCCTACTTCCTAAGAATCATTCTAACCTGGAGAGTTTCTTGGTTTTAGGGACTGCGTATCTTCCTGGTGCCTGGCACAGAGTTCTGTATGTAGCAGAAGCTCAATAAATGTGCAATGGATCAATGAATGAGGGAATCTGAGGCCCTGTGCTGGGCAAGTGGAGACAAAAAGCTGAATAAAATTCAGCCCTACCCTCTCAGAAATTCAAGTCTAGACAGAGAAATGCACAAGTCACTTTCACATCAGGTGCTGTACCCAGAGCTGTGTGCAAGGCTCTGGGGCCTGATCCTGGGGATCCGGAAGTAAAGTGGCCTGTCTCTGCCCTTTGGTTTCTGCCCCCAAGTAATTTAAACAGTGCAATTTAGAGGTCCACTTGGGGCAGGCAGGGCCTAACTCCTCTCTGGGAGGTCTGGGGAGGCTTTTCAGAGGAGCTGGACTTGAATGGGCTCTTAAGGGAAGACTAGGATATGGGCAGTGTGACTTACAGGCATAAAGCATAAACGCCTTAGGTTTCTGGTGCACAGGCCAGAGTGGCTGAGGAGCAGGGTGGTGGTGGGGAGGGGAGAGGTAACTTCCAGGTCTCTGGTCCTCCTCACCCCTCCACTTCCAAGGTCTTTATCCAGTTCACCCCCTTTTCCTCTCTGCTGCCTTCCCCTCCCCTTGCATAAATCTATAGTGACCTAACTGGTCTTCCTGGGTCCTCTCCTGCCTCCTCCAACCTCTAAATATCTTTAGAATGTTACTCAGATCCTGTCATGACCGTGCCTCAAACCTCCAGTGGTTTCTCAAAATCCCAGCTCCCGTCTGTAGCCCACGGGCCCTGCATGACCAGCCTCTCTCTCCCGCCCTTCACCCCTTCAATCTCCTAACCCCACCACACTGGTCCTTCTGGTTCTCAACTACTCCATCAAAAGTAGGATCCTTGTAGCCATCCTCTGTGTCCATCATTCCCTTTCTTCTTTTAGTAATAGACGCCTACCTCCCCCAAAGTTTTAACTAGCATGTAACTGCTCAGCTAGAGACTAAATTCTCAGCCTCCTCTGCAGCTGGGAGACTTAGGGAAGTGGTGTGATCAACTCCCAGGCCCTGCCTTCCACATCCTCTTTCCCAAAACTTTGCCAGGCTGGAACTGAGACGTGAGGGGGTATAGCTGGCTTTGATCATTCTGTCCCAGGGGCTAGCGAGAGGAAAACCTGTCTCTCAAATTAAGCATTTTTGGATTCCGGGAAGACAGCCAAACTGACATCCCATCTAATACACTGCTCCTACCCATGACTGTCAGGTTATCTCATTTTGTTTCCTTCCTGTCACATATCATGACCTGAAATTAGCTTGTTTATTATTCACTCACTGGTTAAAGGCCCCGTTCCCCAACCTCCCCAACACCAGGAATGTGAGCTCCATGGGAACAGGGACCTTGCCTGTTGTGTTTACTGCTTAATAAATATTTACTAGATAAATTAGTAATAGTAATATAATAATAGCTCTGCATCTCCCTCGTTTCCTGACTCCTACCTCACTTCCCTCTCCCATGTCCGCAGCCCTTAGACACACACAGCCTTATTCGCTCACCATTGATCTCCTGGATCTCCAGGTCAGGAGAGGCCATGTAATACTTGTCACACAGGAGCTTGGCCATGTCGTAGGCATCTGAAAGCAGCAGGGGGTCATCAGGGAATGGGTGGCCTCCCCCCAGCAGGCAGTTCTCTTGGTATCAACAGTGGGTGTCACCAACATTAAACCCATGGGCATGTGGCCCCCACCCACTGGGGAATGAATGGGTCACCCTCTGGCCAGGTAAACTTGGGGGTTCACTGGGGCTCCTCTGTGGGCCAGGCACAGTGAGGATGACTCACCCTTCACCACCTCAGAGATGTTGCAGTTGGGGTCGATGCTGCCGATGTGTTTGGGGTGGGCAGGGTTGGTTCTGCCATCAAAGAGCAGGGCTACAGGCAGAAACGGTGGGCGCAGTTGGCGGGGCCGTGTGCCTCAGCGCTCCCTCCCTCCTTCCCCTGGCTCTCCAGGACTTCACCTCTATTTCTAACCCTTCTGACCCTAACACCGTCTCCCCACCTTCCTACTCTCTCTCCTCTGACCAGACCCTACAACCTCGAATCAGGCCAGTTTTGGACCTTTGCAGGCCTGAAACATTCTTCTTCTCAGAAGTCTCGTTCCCACACATTCTACATTATATTTAATTCTTCTCTTTTGCTATACATTAAAATAATTTTTACCATCTTGTGTATTTAATGACTGGCTATGATTTAGCAACACTCATAGTTAATTCTCCTAGAATAAGAAACTCTAGAAAACCACCTGTTTCCGAGTGTAACGAGATTGTTATGAACACCACAAAAAGAAGTGACACAGTTTTGCTTTCTGTAAACCTCTGAACACTGAATGGCCCTGCGCCCGCTCACTGTGCTGGTTGATGAGCATGCGGATGGAGATGCGGCTGAGGTAGAAGCGGTCCAAGAAGTACTGGATGTTCTGGTTGGAGACGGGGTCGTCGCCATAGGTGTCCTTGTACTCCAGCACGCCCTGAGCCATTGTGGGCACCACGTCATTGTGGCGGTTCCGGATGGTGACCAGGGCATCAGTGAACCTGCGGGGTGGGGGGGTAGCTGTTGGTTCTGGGACACCCTCCGACTCTCCCTGCTCCGCCCTTCTCTCCACACTGCCTTCACCCACTCGCCTCTTCCCAGCCCACTGCTCCTGAAGGCCGCCCAGACCTCCCACTGCCTGCCTGGCAGCCTGGGAGCTCCACCGGGTGGGTCCTGGGTCCCCCCGCATCAGACACACCAGGATTGAGCGCTGTCTCCCCGCTCACCCTGGATAACCCCAAGGACAGGGGCATTTCCGTCATCCTACGGGCATTTCTGCCCCTGGAGCTGCGGCTCACACCTGCCCTCCCGCCCCTAGCCAGCGCCTCACTCACTGGCTCAGGGTCCGATGGTCCTCAGGGTCCTTGTCCAGGAACTCCATGATGTCCAGGAGACTCTGGACATACCTGTGCAGGAGGGGAGGGGGCATCACCTTAGCTCAGGGCCAGGCCTCTGCCCACCGGACTCTGCTGACCCAATGTTTGCCCTGTGCCTGCAGGGGGCAGCGCAGAATGGGCAGCACGCAGTGGGCTGCACGGGTTGACAAGCTCCATCTGTGACTCCCCCAACAAGACAGTAAACATACTGTGCAAGTAAACCTCTGATTTGTTGGTTCTCAGAGGGCCTTTGCTTTGCTGTCCTAGAAGAGCTGTCTTCGAAGGCGCTTGGTGGCCATCCCACCCACGGGGCTCCTGGTGAGAAGACTGAGGCCCAGACGGGGGAGGGGGCCTTGCCCAAGACCAGCGGTGACAGCAAGGCACTCAGCCTCCCCCGCCATCCTGGAAACAGACCTAGTGTCTGCCTGCCGAGTGGCTGCTGTATCCCAGCCCAGCGCTCTCACAGAGCAGGGGTTCAAGGAGACAACCTCACACGCTGACTCTGGACACCAGGAGCTGGCATCCTGTTCCCAGTTCCTAGGGAACTGGATTTTAAATGGTGGGTGGGAAAAACGAGGTGGGGGGGAGTTGGTGGGGGCTGGGCATGTCCAGCTCTGACACGGGGTGGGGCTGGAGCCCATGGAGAGCCTGAAGGGGCCCAGCTGCCTGGATGCTGCCAAACTGGAGCCACTGTCCCCCCGTCCCCACTGTGAGGCAGGGAGCCACTGCTTTCCTACTAACACCCCAGCCCGCAGCAGCTCACTCTCTTGGGGAAGGCAGAGAGTTGAGCCTCTCTCTGGCAGAAACACTTGGGCTGGCAGGAAGAGGGGCCACTAAAGTCTGACCAGGGAGGGCCCTGGGGGCCTAACAGTCCCTCTAGAAGAGGTCCCAGCATAATCCAAAGTCCCATGTACGCAGGGCTTTGACCTTAACAGTAAGAACAGCAGCAACAGCAGGAATCAGCCCCATTTCACAGTCTCCTCAATTGAGGCCTGAGGCAGTTCCACAGCTGGGAGGTGATATAGTGAAGACAGGCCTCCAGCGCTCCTGCCACTATACAGCGCTGGCTGCTCAAAAGGGCTCAGCCCCCTGGTCCTGTGGTTCTCTCTGCCTGGAATGCCCTGCTCCCTTCACCTACTGCCACTCTCCTCTCTCTTGCTTAACCCAGTAGAGAAGACGGTGAAAGAGCTAGCTTTGAGGCTGGCTCTGCCAAGTCCCAGGCTGGGCTTTTCCACTTTGAGCTGTGTGGCTCTGGGAAGTCATGGAACCTCTCTGGGCGTGAGTTTCCTTATCAGAAAAAGGGAGGGTATTGTACCTACTGCTATCACTGCTTTTTGGTGAGAATGAAATGTGATAATTGACACAGTGCCTAGCAAATAGTGAGTACTCTAAATGCTTGCTCTTGTTATGAACAGTGGTTCAGACACTGTCAACAGCTGAGGAGGGCACCCTCTTAGTCCCCAGGTGGCACATGACACACTCCTCTTGGTTACACTGGGCACAGGCTCTGAATCACCATGTTTGAATCTGTCATGCTCTGGACAGCCACGGAGAACAGATGGGGCTTTCCCAGCCCTGCTGCTGCCGCCCACCCTCCCCGCACAGGGCCCAGCACAGCGCCTGGCAGGAGGTGGCAGAGTCACTCGTAGCAGAGGTGATCAGCTCTCCCTGGAACCCCCTCACCATCCTCAGAGCCCCAGCAGACAGTCAGAGCGGCCCTCCTACGCCCTCACCTCAGAATTCCTGGAGAATAACAATAGCCGCTGCTTACCCAGTGACCATCAGTGCTCACCTGTGCTCAGAGTCTATGCAGGGGCTTTCATCTCCCAGGAGCCTTCATGAGCATGTGCTATTTCCCCCTTTTGCAGATAAGGAAATCAGCTCAGAGAGGGCAGATAATATGTTTCAGGTCACACAGTAAGCATTCACACTGGGATTCAAACCCAGGTCTGTCTGATGCCAAGTCTACACAACATGGCCAAGTGCTCACTGTCTACACCGGTCCTAACAGTGATGCTGCTGATGTCCATGGTGAGGGCAACCAGTGTCTACCGGTGCTGGCCTTGTGCTAGGGCTCTGCTCTATGCTCCCCCAATTTAACCTCCACAATGACCCTGCGAGGGGTATGCTACTGCTGGACCCATTTTACAGATGAAGAAGTCAACATTCAGGGCCGGAATGCTCTCTCACAGGCCTGTTACTCCAGATCCCTGGATCCCATGCCCAAGAGAATGCTTCAGGCTCATGTGATTCTTAGAGGGAGAGGGGATTCGAGAGGAGGACCTGCAAGTACGTAACTGTAAAAACAGACAGAGACAGGAGACAAAGGAGACCAGCTGGGGGGTAGGTGCCCTGGAACCCCTTCCCAAGACCCAGAGCGCAAACAGAGAGGGAGGAAGTTGGAACTACAGGGCTCTGACCAGCTGGGCCAGGACTGGGGGTTGGTGACAGGATGAGAGCTCTCGCTGCTGGCCCCACCCCCTGTGGCTGTCTAATGAACCACCAAGGGGGGTGGCATGAAGTAAAACAAAGAGCACCAGGATGGACTGGCAGTGGGAGTGCCAGCTGGCACGGCTCTGGGGAGAGCTGCAGCCTCATTCAGGCCTCAGTCTCCTGGATTGTGAAGCAGGGATTAGAATCTCTGCCCGCCTTCCTCTGGGGGACATTCCATCAGGGGAGTGGTCCTGGGTGTACTCCCGGAAGGGAGAGGAGATGACGAGAATTCTCCCAGGGGAACTGTGACTGGGCCTGAAACCCCTCAAGAGTCTGGCAGACCAGACCTTACCCGTGGTCTTGAAAAGGGAAAGGAGGGAGTGATGCTGGCTCCAAAACAGCCCACCCTGGAGGGTCAGAGAAAGAGTTGGGCTTAGACACGGACAGTCTGGAGCAGTGATGCAATGATAGGTGCGTCACCTGCCCTGGGCCTGGCAGAACAGGCCAATGTGAAGCACTAGGGAAGGCCTGGCCTGGTGACCTCAGCAGTAAGCAAGGCCGCCCAGGACTTCCTGGGTGACATCTGGCGTGTCCTCCCCTCCCCTCTACCAAGTCAGGTGGAGACCCCAAACCCTGCCTTCTGGGGCTTTCCGGCCAATCCAGAGCCCTGGATTTGGCAGGTGGGAGGGGTAGAATTTGGTGAGAGGAGGGACCATGTGTATGCCTGTTTGAGTGTGTGTGGGTAAGCCTGGGTGTAGGGATGTCGGAATGAACACCTGGCAGAGTGGGAGGAGGCACACGCAGGCTTGTGTGGGCAGAGGAGTAGGGAGCCTGTGTGAGTCTGGACGCCTGTGGGGGTGTGTGTCCACAGCCGCTGGGGACCAGGGTGTAAACAAGGCAAAGGCCCTGCGAGGAGGGGAGAGGTGGAGACGTGCTGGTATCTGAAAGCTGCCTGTGGAGGGGCGCTGGGCACGGCCCTGAGCCAGGCCGACCTGGGCCCCATTGCTGACAGTGCTGCTCTCCGGTCCCAGTGTGTGAAGTGGGCTTCGCAGCACCAGGAGCAGATCAGAGGAGGCGATGCTGGTGGCCAATCCACTCGGATTACATAAGTGATGGCTGAGGGATTCAATGGCAGGTTTTGGCTACAGCCCCGGGCCTGGCGCAGAGCAGGCCCTGGGTGCCCGGAACCAGTGAGGCGGTCATTCTTTTCAAGGGCAAAGACTACTGGGTTTGGTGTCCACACACCTTGCTGAGGCAAGGGAGGTTCATGAGAATGTGCCGTGGTAGCCACTCTCACCCCCTTCCCATACTACACCCCTGCAAAGGCACTATTAGCCACAGGAGTGGCTCACTGTCATTTGATTCTACTCTGCAACTCTCACTCAACCCTCCATTTTCCAGATACATCCCCAAACTCCATGCCCTTTGTCAGCCTATCACTCTCCCCTGCGAGATGTAAAGGTTACCCCTCTGTGCCCCCGCAACACTAGCCATCAAATAATCTCTGTAAAGAAAATCTCCTTTCCCGCTGACATGCTTTGCTTAGAAATATCTGACTCCTCCAGAACACGGTTCACTCCCTTTCCTTTGCGAGCACAGCCCCCAGATCACACAGCCTGGGTTGGAATCCCGGCTCCACCACTTACTACCTGATGAACTCAGGCTAGTTTCTTAATCTCTCTGAACCTCAGTTTCCTCATCTACAAAACAGGGATGATAAGAAGGCCTACTCCGCAAGGTTGTTGTGAAGGGTAAATGAGTAAGGACATGCTCAGAGCAGCTCCTGATGGCCAGCAGGCCTTCCAGGGGTGTCTGCCTCTGTCATTGTCATCCACCACCATGACTACACTCTTAAGAGAACCTCTGCCACAGCACCTCATCTTTGGCCAGAAGGTGCTGCTGCCAGAAGATCACAGACATCACTCGTGTGTAGAGTTCGTGTACTTCCACATCCAGCAGTGGCATCTCACCCATTTTACAGATGAGGAAGCTGAGACTCAGAGGGGCCATGTGGTTGGCCAAACGTTAAGTATCCAACAGGCACAAAAGCCAAGCCTCAAAGTCAGGCATGCTGGTGCCACACCCAGGGCTTTCCTTCACCTTCCAGTCACCTCCAAAACAGGATCCCATGACCCCAAGTCAGTCCAGTTGAAATAATACATCAGGTTTGTTTAGAAACAGGAATTCTCCACTTGCCCACCTGCCTAGACCCTCTCCCCAGCTGAGTAGAAACTCCACTAGCTGTTGCCACTTGTTAACTACTGCCACCACTATTACCGACAGCATGTGCACAAGTCTTGTCCATTTCCAAAGGAAAGGTTTAACTGCTCACTCATCGGTCTCTGAGGCTAGTAGCCCTCTTGCCAAGCTCTCTGGTAGGTTTTCCCCTTCCTCTTGTGAAACTGCCTACCTTCACCACCTCCATCATTCAAGTTGGCAAGGGGGTTCCCATGGAGAGGGAGGTCTGTCTCAGGAAGTTCTTCCTTGCCTCAGACCACAATCCCTCTTGCTGCATTTGATGCCCATTCTCTGGAAACAGTCTCAGCAGGCTGTCTCTTTATTGTGTCAGCACACTCTAGCAATACCTTGGTGTGCTCTCCTCTAAATGAATCATCCACTGGGAAGCATTCCCTCTTGTCTCACTTCACTCTCTCCTGCTGTTGCTGGTCATTACTTCCCAGCTTTGAGAGAAGAATTAAGTCAGGCCAAGCCCGGACATGAGTAACTGATTTTCAAGAAGGGACTCTGGGACTTCCCTGACAGTCCAGTGGTTAAGAATCTGCCATGCAATGCAAAGGACATGGGTTCGATCCCTGGTCAGGGAACTAAGATCCCATATGCCACAGAGCAACTCAGCCTGTGTGCTACAACTACTGAGCCCTTGCACCGCAAATAGAGAATCCACGTGCCATAATGAAAGATCCCCATGACACAAGGAAGATCCCACATGCCACAGCTCAGACCCAACATAGCCACATAATAAATGAATATTTTTTTTTAAAAAAGAAGGGGCTCTATGGGCCTTGGGGGTATCACGGACAATCAGCACCTCCCTGCCCTCCCTCCCCACATCTCCTGACTTTTCAAGGAAACAAGTGTCCAAGGAGAGGCCTGAGGAGCCCTGTCCTGGAGTTAAGGACCAGCTGGAGAGGCAGCCAGGTCACTCAGCTGGACAGAGCCGGAGGAGGGCTGGAGAGAACAGATGGCACCTTCTGTCTCCTCCCCATGCCTTCCACACTGCCCCACGGCAGGAAATGCCGGTTGGCTCAGAGGTCCTGGACCTCTAAGGGATAGGCCCCAGTGAGCGGTGACCTCATTGTGCCACAAAAAAATCAGGCTCTGCCCTCTGTCCCCCCATCCACCTTCATCACTTGTAGTAACAGCGCTCTGTCCATAAAGTGAGTGCTCAGATGCCCTAGCCAGGCTCTCTCCTGCCTCCACACCTTTGCACAAGCAGTTCCTTTGGTCTGAATGCTCTTCCCTCCTTTCTAGGTCAAAGTTCACTTAGGCAACTTATAAGGCCCAGTGACATGTCACCTCTTCTCTGCCTCCATTTCAACTTCCCCACAATGTTCTGATTCAACTGAAACTCACTGTGCACAGACCATGTGCCTGGTCTTTTCTTACTTTATCCTCACTGAGTTAGAGTAGCATTTATAGCACATTCATGCACAGAAAAAAGCTGGAAGGGCATCAATAAAGGGCACTTGCAAAACCTGAATGTTTGGTTAAAGGGTGGAGGGAAATAATGGACATTTTCTTTTATCTACTTTTCTGTGTTCTCCAAATGTCAAAGTGAGCATTCTGCAATGAGGGGAAGAAACCAATGTTATTTTAACGCAACATTATTTTGCTATTAAATAAAACAAACTCTTCAGTCACTTACTGCTCCTGCCACCATGGAGCTCTTAAGTTTGCCCCTTTTATTCTCCCCATGAGATGATGGCTCCTGAGCAGCAGCTGCTGCTGCTGTTTCCCTAACCTAACACAGCACTGAGCTCCAAGTAGGTGTGGATGCCCCGAATAGAAAAGGAAACCACAGTAGTACCAGACCTGCCACAGCCAGAATAACAGGCAAAAGATTTCTGCACGCATGCCACTGAAAATTAACCACGATTAGCTACTCACACCCCCAGTTATAAAGCAGATTTTTGTTTATTCTTCATGTGATTGGCCTTTGGTTAATGTCATTCAGTTTTTAATACTTATCCCTGGACAAAGTTTTTGAGTAAACTTTACTGAGAATTTCTCTCTGCTACTGCTGCTGTATGCAATAAACTTTTGGTCTTTGCCCGTCTAAAGCTCTTTGGGGTTGGTACTGTGCCAAGCTTGTGTTTATTTGAGTGTTTTCCAACATCCCAAACAGGCTGATTTGTTTGAATCATACAAGTTGAAGATTCACTTCTTTCTGTTTCCCACAAAGCTGCCCCAGCTAGATGTTATCCAACAGGTGCTAGATTCTCAGGGTCAGGGCTGGTGGCAAATGCTGCCATGAGCCCGATTTGGGTTTTGGGTGTGAAAATGATGATTTCCTTTTCCAGAGAATGGAGGGTGGTGGGTATAGGGCTGTCTCAGAGACATGGAGGCTGGAAGCTTGATCTGAGTCCCTGCTATGGCCTAGCATTCCCACTTGACTGTGAGAACTCCCCTACTTCTCAAAGTCCCCATGCCTCTCCTCTTGCCGCACCTTCTGCAAGGCTGGGAGCATTGGGCATCTGACAATGGAGTGGGGGGCACGGGGATCTAGCCAAGGGTCTCACCAGCTCTGTACCAGCTGCACCGAGGGTGTGCTCAGCACCCGGTCAGGAAGCAGGTTGATCTCCTTCATGATGTTGGCTAGGCGCACAGGCAGCTCCTGCCTGAGGAAAGTGAACGACGTTTTCTCACAGGCATTGCTGGACCCTGGTGGGAGAGGGAAAGGTGAGCCTAAGAGTTACAAAGCACTGGAGCCAGAAGACCTCTGAGTGGTGGGGGAGGGGGTCAGGTCACCAAATAGTTCATTTCCTGAGGGTTCAGAAGAGACAAGACGACAAGGAGGCACAGGATAAGGGCCCCTCCTGACCCAAGCAGTGACTGCCACACTACCCAGCCTAACCCTCAGGGAGGTTGTGTCCTTCCCCCACCTCCAGCTGAATCATGCTTGCCTTCAACCACAGGGGACAGGGCCACCCTGGGCCCACGGGGTGCTGCCTCCAGCCCAAGTTCTTTCACCTCTTCTCTCTTTTCCCTCCTAGTAGACACTCACTTTGCGGGGCTTGAGCCAGGTGGCCAGAGGAGCCTGGGAAACCCATCCTACTTTGAGATGAGCTCCCCTGGCTGAGGGAAGCTATGCTCAGACCACTGCAGCATAGGGTCCCGGCATCATCTTGGCCCAGGTGGTCTTTATGTCCACAGTAGACTTGCCCCTACATTAATGCCCACCCACCTGAGAGGTAGACAGGGTCGGGGAACTGGGGCCCAAATACTTACAGATTCTTGGTCTGGCTTGAAGAAGAAGAGCAGGTAGAGGACTGAATGATGCCATGGCCTAGAGTCAGGAGACCTGGGTTCTAAGTCCAGGTTCTGCCTTTAACTCTGTCACCCAGGGCGTGTCATTATCCCTCTGAAGATCTGTTTTACCCACTGGACTCCAAGTGGACCACTCTACTGTGAGTGCCTCCCTGCTGTGACAGTTCTGTTAAGTGGGGTCCAGTGTGGACTAGACAACTGCTGGAGGCTGGGAGTGGGCTCAGGAAGCTTTCCTACATGGCGGGAGCTCAGATATGGAGGGAAGCAGGTGAACAAGTATCGGGCAACAGATGCCCTGTGTCCTGGCTGCCACCTCCCCGCCTCCTGCCATCAGTGACGCAGCTGTAACCTGAGCCAGGCACTGTCTCCTCAACTCTTGAGAGACCTGGGCAACCCCTTCTAATCTCTAGCTGGCACCATAGAAATTCCGTGTGAACAGACACTGTCCACACAATGCCTGTTTCAGTCACCATGTTGGCACAGCCTTGCCACTCCCAGAACACTGGTGGTAGGTGACCCTGGCCCAGGAACCCAGGGGCAGCTAAGGATGGGTACAAGCTGTCTGGCTCCATTTCACGGTGCCCCGGACCCCTACCCAGCTGGGGACAGATGGCCAGGCCACAGTAGATTTGATCTTCAAGTGTCCTTCCTCTCCAGGACAGCTGGGGGCCAGCTCTTTCAGTGCGGGGAGGTGTACCAGTCAGGGCCTCTCTCCTGCTGACTCCTCTGAAAGAGTACCTCCCGCTAACAGACCCCCAGGGCAGGTCTTCTTCCCTACGGCTGCACCTTGCAAGCCCCCTAGTCACTCCCACAACACCCCCATTTCCTCTCTGACCTTTACTCTTGGAATCGCCAGGACAATCCCCAGTAACCCTTTAGTGCCTGGATACAATCTCCTGCTCCAATGGCACGGCCTCACGCCCCTTCCCCTCCAAGACTCCTCACAAAACCCAGGAAGACACCGTAGACCCCCCTTCTCAGTGCCCCCCACTTCCCCCTAACAGCCCAGTCTCTTCAGCCGGGGTGCCCTTAACCCTTTCAAGCACAGCCTCCCCGTTAACTCTTTCCTGTCTGAACTCCTGCAAGCAAATCTGCCCTGTCACTCGGCCTCCCTTAGCCTCCGAGTTAACCCTTCATGACCAGGACTCCTTCACTCCCACTCCCGCCCCCCGCAGACCCCCCGCGGCCAGCCGCCTCCCGCTCACTCGTACCGAAGTCCAGAAACTGCTTCATGGACAGCGGGGATGGGGAGAACTTGCTGAAGTGCTCGATGTATTTGGGTGCCCCTGCCAGGGACGCATTCTTCAGCAGCGCGCGGACCCAGCGCATGGCGGTGGCGACCCCTTCTCGGGCTCGGGCTCTGGACCCTGCGCGAGCAGCGCTGGCGCTCGGCTCAGCCCAGCCCGGCCCGGTGCCGCGGCGGCCGCCTCCTCCCCACCTCGACCCCAGCTAGGCTCCGAGTCCCGGCCAATTGGCTTGTTGCAGCGCCGCGACGTCGCTAATGGCGTCTCACAAACAACTCCAGGAGAGCCAATAGCGTCTCGCCCCGGCACGTGGCTACCCCCCTGGGCCCGCCCCCTTAACCCAGTGTTTGTCCGGAGCGGCCTGTTGTTTTCAAGAGGCAGCGCTGAGAGCCCGCGCTGAGAGCCCGCCTCCCACGTCACCACGCGCGTTCCTCCTCCCGGCCTAGCCCGGATTAACCCCTCCCTCTCCAAAGGCCCGTTACCCCTTTCCTCGTACACTCCGTTTCCCCGATCCCTCCCCGAATCTCCTTCACTTGCCTGCCCCGAGGTTGTCCGGGAGCTTTCAACGCATCTTCTTCCGCCCACAAGGGCCCGATCCACCAGTCCTGATCTCCACCCACCTGCTCTCCCTCAGGGCGTCTGGTGGGTTCCCAGTCTGGAAGACAGTGACTCGACTGTGGATGGATCGGGATGCGAGCCCATGCTAATCCCTCATATAGACGTGTAACACACCTACTTCCACAAAGATCCAAGCAGCTCAGGACAAGGCAGCATTTTGCTTTTCCAGTTAAAAAGCTCGAGTCAACCCCCTCACTAACGCCTAGCGGCGGCTACAATAAACTTTTAAAACCACCTTTATTTTATTATTCTCTACTCATTTGACCTGAGAAAGCTACCTTTTTCGCACTTGGCTTTCTTAGAGAAAGGTCCTGGAAGGTGATCTGTGCTGGAGGCCAAGAGCGGGCACTTCACAGCAACCGGCACTTCACAGCAGCCCGGATCTCTCGTGGGAACGTAGCTCGTCCTCTTGGCCGGATATGTCCTGTCCCCGCATCCCACCCACTTGCCCCTATGAGGTGTTTTTCGCTTCAGTCCTTGGCCCACACTCACCAAGTGCCAAATAGTTGCCAGGCTTATATGCTGGGAACGGGAAACACAGACAGGATTGGGACATGGTCTTTTGCCTTGATTATTTCATTTCTCAGTCTGAGAGAGCTGCATAAGTAAATAATTAAATAGTTACAACAGACTGCAATTACAACCAATGCAGAGCTATGTGCAAGTCTTCACAATGGAAGGGACTCTCTTAGCTGAATGAATACTATGCCATATGCCAGGCACTCTTTGCATGCATCATCTCATTGAATTCTCCAGACAGCTTTACCGTGCTACTGTTACCACCATTTTACAGTTGAGGAAACAGGTTCAGGTACCATTTTCCACTGCAAATCTGAAGGTGTTACTTCCCTTGCTCACAGCCTTGGCCTTCACTTCTTACTGGAGCCTTTCCAGTTCTCACATGATCTGCTTTGGTTTAACTCTCTGGCCTCATCTCTTCCACACTCCCCTGCTCAAGTCCCACCCATACTTATCTAGTGCCTTGAACCAGACTTCAATCTCCCCACTGTTGCAAATGATGTCTCCTACCCATGGATCATTCTTTCTTCTCACTTTTGCCTACCCACTCTTCTGCACTCACCAAAATCATCAATGACCTAAATGCTAGCTGAATGGAGTACAGGTAACAAAATGCACAAATCCTCAAATTTTCCACTATATGTTCAACTTGGGTTGGTGGGGCGTTCCCAGGGACTCAGACTGACAGAAACTTTATCTCAACACAGGCTTCCACAGCATCAGAGCCAGCAGAAGCAGAACTGGGAATCTCACCCAGCAATTAACTGTCTCAGCCCAGAACTGGTCCCCTTCCCTCCGGCTGACAACTCATTAGCCAGGCTGGGTTATGGGCTCCCTCCAAAGGTTCCTCAGGCCTCCTGATCTAGCACTATTCTAGCTCTTAACACACAGCATGGTAATCATCTGCTGACTCATCTGTCTCCCCAGCTAGGCTTTAAGCTTTGTGAGGGCGGGCCTGTGTTGGTCTTATTTACTGCTCTGTCTCCAGTACCGGATACAGCACATTGAAGGGAAAAGAAGGTGAAACAAGAAGTTGGAGTCACTGGGAAGACATGCCACAGAGATATCAAAGACCACCAAAATCCATCCATCTAGCAATTAGATCATTGATGATATTGGTGAATGAAGTCTTCAAGTTGCCCAGAAGAGAATATTAAATCCTATATGTAAAAAGCTGAGCCCTGTGCCTGGCACACAGTAAATAATAAATAGCAACTATTACTACTACTGTCGAAATTAAAGTAACAAGGAAAAGGCTGTAACCTCTGAGGCTATGTGTAAAAGACAGAGATTTCCCATGATCTTCTCTTTAGAGCTGGACTTCCTAATGGGGGCTCTGAGTTGGATCAAATTTCTCCTGCAGAGTGGTAATGGGAGTGGCGTGGAGTGGTGTATCAATCAAGTTAGGTTAGGTTATGGGAAGTAACAAAACTCGCAAATCCCCAAATTTTCCACTGTATGTACAACTTGGGTTGGTAGGGAGTTCTCAGGGACTCAGACTGACAGAAGCTTTATTTCAACACAGGCATCCACAGCATCAAAGCCGGAAGAAGCAGAACTGGGAGAGTCTCACCCAGCAATTAACTGTCTCAGCCCAGAACTGATCCCTTTCCCTCCGGCTGACAATTCATTGGCCAGAATAGCATCATCCAACCAGGAGGACCTAGGAAGTGCAATCCAGCCCTGTGCTCAGGAGAGGGAGAATAATCTGATGGTTTGTTTCCTTTTGTTTTAACTGATACAAGAGCCAAGATACTTCTTTTAAAGTGTTTGGAGTTACTGCAGCTCCAAGGAACTCAATAAGCTTGGCATAATACACGGTTTTTTCCTATAAAGTGGGCATTGCTGGATCTCTGCCAGTATGTTTCTTTCATGAAAGTATAGCTACAACAGTCCTGAAAATGTCTACTTACTTTTGCAAGTGTGTGTGAGACAGATGGTATGTTTTCATCCAAACAAGTGCTCACAGGAGATGGGAGGCTGGGCCCATACACCGGTCAGAGCGATATATAGATCCCACTTCATTCTTCAGTGGTGGCAAAGGACTGGACTGAGCTGCACTGAACTCTGATCAACTTGAGCTGGGCTTTGACCACCTACATGTGTGTTTTTTTTGACCTAGTGAATAACCCGGATTTGGAGAACAAACTGAGGTCTCTGGTTACTGGTCCTGGAAGTTCTGGGTAGGGGCTGGGGTTTTCCTGGAGGAACTAGACATCTCACTGTCCATGACAAATCGCAGCACACAAAATAAGGCAGCAGGCTCTCATAGAGAGGGTAGAGGGCAGACAGCTGCCACAGGGGGGCCGTCTGAGGCAGCTGAAGCTGAATTGAAGATCTGCCTCTAGGCTTTTCTGAGTAGTAATTTCCAGCCTTGTCAAAAGGACTTCCCTGGTGATTCAGACGGTAAAGAGTCTGCCTGCAATGCAGGAGACCCAGGTTCAATTCCTGGGTCGGGAAGATCCCCTGGAGAAGGACATGGCAACCCACTCCAGTATTTTCCCTGGGAAATCCCATGGACAGAGGAGCCTGGCAGGCTACAGTCCATGGGGTCACAAAGAGTTGGACATGACTAAGCAACTAATACTTCTTGTCAAAGGTCCTTGGGAACAATTAACAGAAGGACTTGTGACACAATTTAGGACAGAGAAGTCACAGGATAAGCAGCCTTGGTCCATCCCCCAGGTCTGTGAGGCTTGGTTTTGGCACTAGCAGAGGCTGGGACATGCATGTCCACGCACCATTCAGGGTGCACAAGCACAGTCTGCAGCCTTAGCACAGAGGAGGCAGCAGAGAGCTTGACCCAACCCTGCGCCTGTGAACTCAGGACAGAAGTGTGTCTGGAAGAGCTGCAGCAGGCTAGGGCTCCCGGTTCTCCCTCCCAGAGCTAGGGAATGGATACTAGGACTTTTCAGTGTTTCCACCCTTGGGTCACTGGTTCACCATCTGATCTACCCATCATGGTATCTAGGGCTGGTTGTGGGGAAACTGAGGCAGTAACGCAGATTCTTATCTGAATGTAGCCACCAGATGAGGGCTCTCAGCTCTCTACCTGTGCACACAGCATCACTCTATCATTACCCAGGACTACCTGCTTCTACAGCAGAGTGGCTTCCTGCCTCTTCCAGACCCTGCACACCACCACCTCTACTCCTGCTCCTTCCCCAGGCTGGCACAGTGTCTACCAAGAAGCTGTCTTGGATTCCATACAGTCTACTCAGGGCTTTTCCTCATCTGATGTTCTGAATCTCAGTTATGTGATGGTGACCGTCCCCTAAGTCTGGGGCACCCCTGAGAACAGGAGCGGTTATCTCGGCCATAGAGCTTCACCCTCCCAACCTCTCAGAGCCCTGCACCCGGCTCTGTCCACCGGGGGATCAGCTAGGTATCATGATCCATCAGCCTGAATGGTGTTGCTAAGATGTGGGGGTAGATGGAGGCAGATGCAGTGTGTACAAACAGGGAGCTGTTTACTGGTTGCTGTGAGAAGCCTGTACACAAAGAAGGCACAAGGAGGGGGAGGGGGCTCCCCTGCTACAGTACCATGGAAGTGGGGAGGGGCTGAGGAGGGGTCCTGCCAACAGGCAGGGTCAGGACAGGTTTTCTGGACACAGCTCAACTTCTAGAATGGGCCATGGGTGAGAAGGCAAAGCTGAACTGGCTCCAAGAGCCAAGGATAGCCAAGAGCTCCACTTCTAGGTCTCCAATTCATGGTCAGTGAGGGCAGAGTGGGGTCTGGCTGATGGGGCATGATGGGGCTTCCTCCCTGTTCTACATTCAAGTGTCGCTCCCTCTGTGATCGCGTGGAGATCCCTCCAGGCCTTCAAGGCCAGGATGGTAATGTGGGTGAGAAGTGGTATCTGCTCTGTATCCATCCATCATCTCCTTGGCCCAGGACCGGTCCCCACTCTACTGAGGATTCCATCATGCTCCAGAGTGGTCCCAGCACAGCATGTCCCGGCTGCCTAGCAGCCTGTCCACCTCTGTTTCCTCCGGCTGCGTTTCCTACTAGCGCGCGGGATGGCCATGGCTGAGTTCAGAGGTTTTCTCATCAATTCATGAAAGAAAGCCACCCTGGGGACCTTCTTTCTAGTTCATTCTGCTCTTGGTTTGAGCATGCCAGATCCTGTGAACACCTCCTTGGACGACCTCAGGCAGTGTCTCCACTCTTTGCCATGGGTGCTAGGAGCTGCACTGGGGGTCTGGTGGTCTGCTCCTTGTCAGTAGTTTTCATCTCGAGGTCAGGGTCAGTCCAGTGCCTGTGGCTCATGACGGGTCCAGTGTGAACAGAGGAAGGGTCGCCCACTGGGGGCCCCTTCCTCCTGGCTCTGGCAGAAGGCCTTTGGCTTGGTTTTGGCACTCGTAGAGGCTGGGACACGCATGGCCATGCACCATTCGGGGTGCACAAGCACAGTCTACAAGCAGTGGGACCCACATGTGCTCATATGTGTCCAGGGCACAGGGCTGCAGTGCTCAGCAATGTACGGGCCACAGCCCCAGCCTTCCTTCAGGGAGAAGGCCATGGCCACATAGCACGTGCATGCACTTGTAAGGTGTGTGTGCCCGAGCCTGCTGGTGCCAGCCAAAGGCAGCGGTCCCTGTGGTCTGTTGGGGCTTAATTTATGATAAATAGAAGAAGGGGACACTGGGGGAGCAGGGTGCAATCAGGGAGGATATCAGTAGTATTGGCCCCGAGTCTGCCAGCTGGTCACCCAGTGCTTCTTGGTGGGCAGGGTGCTCCCTGGAGGTGGGTAGCGCTCCTCCTCCCGGATCCTCACTGCGTGATACTTGGGCATGATCCGGTAATAGCGGGTCCGCTTAAAGAAGTCACACTGGAGGAGGGGGAGAAGAGGGAGGCCTTCAGAAGAAAGCATTTACAACCAGTGGGAAGATGTGCCCAGTCCTTTCCTTCCTCACCAGGAGGTCCTCAAAGCCAGGACCCCTACCCAAACACAATGCCATCTCCCTGCCCTGAGACGAAGAGGACAAGGTTCCCCACCCCAGACCCCAGAGGAAGGAGGAGCTGAGGAAGGCAGAGAGGAGAGGGAGAGGCAGATGGAGTCAGAGGGGCAGTCACCTAGACTGCAGATGGAATGGCTAGGACAGGTGGTGATCTACAGTGACCACAAAGTCGGGAGGGGTCAGTTTGTCAGCCCAAGAGACTCCTCAGAGGAAGAGTGCTGGTTCCCAGGAATAAGGGCTCTACTAGTTCCCTCCTTCTCTGGAGGTGGGATGGGGGTATGGAATCACTCTGAATTCTGTCTTGTGGTCTACAAACATGGGGCCTAGCCTTGACCCTTTCCAATCCCCAGAAAGCATAAGGGGCACAGGGAGGGTTTATGGCTCCCTCTTGAGGTCCCAAGTCTTTGAGGGACTCAGTGGGGAGGCTGGTGAGAGCAGACACCCCGAGCTCTCCCAGGATATGGAGGGGAGACCGACAGAGTAACCTGCTCTTTGGGGGTGGTGCTGGGGACAGAGTGAAGTGCAGACAGGGCCCATAAGGGAAGAGGAGCAGACAGAGAGAGTCAGAGGCCCCAGCCAGCTGGGGGCTTGGGGAAGGGGGCCCGGAGGACGCGTTACCCAGGTGGGCCGGGGGTGGGGGCTGCCCCCCTCAGTAGTCTTCCGTCAGCCTCTCCGTCTCTGACGGCTGGCTCTTCATCTCCGCCTTCTGCCTCTTAGCTTCATACAGGGCGCGAGTGCGGGCTCGCTTGAAGAAGCCGCACTGCGGAGGGGAGGAGGTGGGGAGGGGCCATCAGGGGAAGCTGGGGGGTCCTTGCCAGCAGCACTTGTGAACTGGGGCTTAGGGCTGGGGAGCCTGGATGCCTGGTTCCCAGCCCCAGCTTGGTGATGTGGCAGGAGCCAGAGCTCCTGGTTCCCCTTTCAGCTTGCAAGTCCCCCCATTAACCCAGGACTGGGAGCTGGAGAGAAAGTGGGGAGGACTTGGGTGATGGTTGGGTGAGATGGACGTGAGGAATGAGATGAAGGGACAGTTGGTGAGGGTCTGCTGGCAGGGGGTCCCAGAGTGGGAGTCCCAGTGGCAGGCGGGGTGTTCTAACCTTCCACAGCAAGAGGATGATCAGCCCCAGCAGCAGCAGCCCGGCACTCACAGCCACAAGCACCAGCCACAGCTCGATCTCAGCCGGTAGCTCCTCCACCAGGTCAGAGTCAATGTCCACGGAAAACTGGAAAGGGTGAGAAGGGGCTCAGCCACGTGTCCACCCCCTCAGGCCCTGAGCTCATCCTTCCTGTTTCGGCTAGACCCAGGACCCTGCTGTTTGATTTACCACCTGTAGGGGGCACACAGGGACTGGAAAAGCCCCTGCCAGCCCATTGACAGGAGCAGATTTCTCTATCCTCCCCTTTGTCCTAGAGGCAAACACCAAGATCTCTGATCTGGGAGGCACCCCGGAGCCTGGTTTGTGACCCACACATCCAGGCTTGGGTACCAGCTCCATCCTTCACAAGCTGTGGAACCTTGGACAAGTAAATTCACCTCTCTGAATCTCCATTGATCGTAATGCCTACCTCATAGTATAGTAGAGTGGCCGAAAGTATGGGTTCTGGAGCCAGACTACCGTGGTTCAAGTCCTAACTATGCTATTCACTAGCTGTGTGACCTTGGACAAGTCACTTAACCTTTCTGTTGTTCATCTGTGAAATAGGGAATATACTAATAATATCTGTATCATAGGTTGCTGGGAGGATTAAATGTGTTTGATATGAGTAAACTGCTTTGAGAAATACCTGGTATAGAGCAACACTTCCACAAATATTTACAAAAAAATAGAATGCATAGCATATAGTACCATTTTTTCTTCCCCTACAATGAAGATATATATATATATATAATATTATTATATTATAGGTTTTATAATAGTTATTATACATATTTTGCATATATATACATATATATTTTTTAAAGGTCCTTTGTGTGTGTTTAATATTTACTTATTTGGCGGTGCTTGGTCTTAATTGCTTCATGTGGGATCTCGTTCCCTGATCAAGGATCAGATCTGGGCCCCCTGCATTGGGAATGCAGAGACCTAGTCACTGGACCACCAGGGAAGCCCCTGCATATAAACTTATATATAGAAAAATATTTTTCTCACTGTACATGATTATTTCTTAAAAAGTTACTTTTATTATTTCATATTTTAAAATGTCTATATTAAACATATATATTTTTTCAAAGTAATTAGCCTCCAACTAATAAAAATAAATGAAAAAATGTACAAAAAAATTTAAAAAAATAAACATATATTTTTTTTCTTTCACATAAATGGGATCTGTGTATACTATACACACTCTTCTGTGACCTTTTTCATCATCTTTCGATGTCAGTTAATAAAGATCAACCTAATCTCTTCTGACGACTGCACATCATTGTAGGAATGTGCCAGAATTTATTGAACCAATCTCATACTGAAAGACATTTAGATTGTTTCCAATTTTCTGCCATTATAAACAATGCTTTAAAATATCCCCATATATTTATGTTTGCAAATTTGTCCTATTAGCTCCTTGATATATTATCATATGCAAGATCAAAGGAAATGTACAATTAAAAATTTAATAGATATTGACAAATTCATCTTTAAAAAGAATCCGTCAATTTATATGCCAATCAACAGCATTTCCTTCAACCTTATCAGAACAAGATAGCATTCTTCTTTTTAATATTTTCTCATATGATATGAAAAAAATCTTACTGCTATTATATTTCACCATACGTACATGCCTATTGCATGCCACCCTTTCTCTTTACATGTTAAAAATATGTCTATCAATATTTTGTCATATATGCTATAAACTTTTTAAAAAGCAATATGTCTTTTGCCCTGTTAGTTTCTTTACCATCTCTTTTGCTGTATACAGATTTAAAATGTCATAGAGTTGAATTTTTCAAAATTTTTTTGTGATTTCTGGGTTTAATAAAATAACTCCCTCTCCCCATAATTAAAGATTATTATTAAATTATTTCCTGAATTTTCTTCTGGTATATTAGGGTTTTTTTCCTACATTTAAATATTTAATCTAACTCAAATGTGTTTTTGTTTATGGTGTGAGGCAGGGGTTTGTCTTTACTTTCCAAATATGTTCTCCCAATACTACTTAATCATCTATATTTTTCTCCTGATTAAAATGCTATCTGTATAATAAAAGTAAATTCCTATTCTGTTCCATTGATCTTCCTGGCCCTTCCTCTGCTACCTTAGTTTATTTTAGGAAATATACGATAATGTATTTAACCAACCCTTCATTCACCTCCTATACATTTCCCTTCTAACCTTTTCATAACAAATTATTAGCAATTTTGTGGTATTTATTTTTCCATATATAACTTAGAATCAAGTTTGGGAACTTTTTTTTCAGGTTAGCACAAAAATGCAACATCTTTACATGCAGATCAAATGAGCTCAAGTAGAGGTTCTCAACCCTGGCTGCACAGTAGAATCACTGGGGGTACTTTTAAACATACCAGTACGGGGGTCCCACCTCCACAGTCTCAGATTTCATCACTTAGGGGTGTAGTCCAGACACTAGAAGTCCTCCAGGGGATTCCAATGTGCTGCCAAGACTGAGACCAAATAACTGAAGTATGTGGAAGTGCTCTGAAAAGATGCCCCGTGCTCCCATGCCCTGGCCAGGTCCTGCTGTCTCCTTAACACGCTCACTCACCCGCACTGTCTTATTCTCCATGTTGATGGTGGGGACGCTGCTTCGGAGGAACAGGGTGGCCCAGCTGGCTACCCTGACTCGGTCAAAGTCTCTATAATCCTGGAGGGGGAAAGGGTGAGTCAAAGGAAGCAGCTGAAGTCCCTCTGAGCCTCCTTCCTGCCCAGCCCTCAGGATACTCTCCCTCCACAGAGCATCTTTAAGCATCACTCCAAAGGACCTGACACCGGGCCTCTCCTCTACACACGAATGCACATCATTCATTCATCTCTGTGTCAGGTCCTATGCTGGATTCTGGGGACAGCAGGGACAGTGAAGGTCACAGTCTAGGTCTGGCCTGCGGGCTCAATATGGCCCAAGAGATGCTTTTGTAAATAAAGTATTTCTGGCACACAGACACACCCATTCACCAGTGTATTGTCTGTAGTAGCTTCATGCTACAATGCAGACTTGAGTACCTACAACAGAAAGCGCGTGGCCCACAAAGCTGAAAAGAGATGTTTAATCTAGTCATTCACAGAAAAAGTTTGGTCTAGGTCGGCTGGCACTGCAACCCAGAGCAGAGTGTGCTAAGTGGCATGTGTGGCTTCTGAGAAAGTTCTGTGAGTGTCTAGATGGGAAAGGTCATTGTCAGCTACAAAAATCAGAAAAGATCTTGCTGGTGGTCTCTGAGGGAGACTGTGAAGGCTGAACAGGAGTTTACATGCAGAGGTAACAGATGGGAGCTGGCATCCAGGGAAAAGGAGCAGCACGGGCTAATGCAGAGAGGTGAGAAAGTAATGGATACACAACAGAATAAAGGACACAGGAGATGTTATTTTATGGAGACAAAATGATGTCATGTCCACACATGGATGCATGGACTAACTCTGACAGGGCACACAGTAACAGGTGCAGAACCCAGCATGCATCCATCTCCATGCAGTCACCGACAACACTCAGGTACACACGTGTGGTCTGGCCTCACCCGCTCCCTGTTGCTCTCCCAGCCCGGGGTGGGTGGCAGTTGAGACCGGCACTGACCTCGATGAAGGTGCTGTTCCACACTCGTGCCTGGATGGTCACGTTGGTGATGACAGGGGCATCAGGAATGGGGCACTCCAGCCACACACAGTGGGTGTGGTCACTGCCACAGCTCTGAGATAGGCAGGGAACACAGACCCAGACAGTCTGGGTCTCTAGATTCTCCAGACTTCGCTCCAGGCTTTGTCCCAACTATGGTTGAAACTGAAGGGGCCTGTCCTCATCCCTTCACTCAAGCACATTCCCCGCCAACCCTGCATTTATGTGTTTAAGGCACATTTTTTGGACCACGCATACATAGATGCCAGCGATATGGAGAACAGGAAATCTGGTCCCTGTTCATGTACATGGGGCCCAAACCTGAACACCACCTTCCCACACTGGGACTTTCTTCTGCTGGCTTCCTCCCCTGGGAGGCTACTCCTCTCTCTCCACCCAGCTAGGCTTCAGCTTGCTGCACAGGTCTGCTCCCTCCTCCCTTCCGACAGAGGGCGCCCTGCACCCTGTCTTCATCTTGTGTCTCCGCATCGCTAGTTCTAATGTCCAAAGCTTTGAACAGCTATATAACCCCCAACAGGCTGGGGTTCCTGGAAATAGAATCAGGGCCTGTGCTTTTGGTTCACCGTACCAGCTGCTCCCCAGCACAAGGCAAGGGCCACATCTCCACATCAGACTGGGGTCTCCTGGAGAGTAGCACCTATCTCTCTTCCTTTGTATGTCTTGAGGTGCCCACTCACCCTATGATAGGTGGGCATACTCCCCCTAACCCTGCCCTGGCCACTCACCAATTGGATCTCAGACTTGGCCTTTTTGGCAGCAGTCAGAGTGACAGGTGGGGGGCCTTGGCCTCCTCCTGGGTCCAGTTGTCGCCGCCTGCGCTGTGGAGATGGCGGCTTGTCCCCAGGAACCTGAAGGGGGTAGAGGCGATTTATTGGCGGAAGGAGCAGAGGTGAGGAGAGGAGGAAAGGGCAGGGAGAGGAAGATGCTGGCCTTTCTGCCTTGCAGCTAGCAAAGGAAATGGGCCACAAGTGAACGCTTCTCCTGGTGTCCTTACAGAGAGAGTGAGGTTGAGAGGGTCGATAAGGTCTCCAGGTGGCCAGCAGTGCCAGGATCCATTGCCACGGACAGTGATCTCCGTGGGGTACAGCAGCCACTTTCCATTGCTGACTTCATAGGGCCACTCCAGCCCCAGGACCAGGGTCCCCAGGGCTGCCAGCCCTTCACCCATTGGGCCCACCTGTGAAGACAAGAGATGTCACGGCTACTTTCTCCTGGGAAACCACCTCTGTCTCACCGACCCCCAATCCTCACACCCTCTGACCCTGGACCCAGAGGTCCCTTTACCTGGAACTCGTACTTGAGAGGGCTTCCCACATCCTCCACAGTTTTCATGCCAGACTCACCCATCACTGTCCCCCCAAAGAAGCTTTGTAGCCGGTGATTCACCCTGGGGGTGAGAAAGAGGCTGGAGTGATAGGGGACAGTAGGGGCCCTTGCAGGGGGTGGGTACCAAGGCTAACTCCTCTGTACAGCTCCTCTGACAGCAAGCAGACCTGAGACAAACCCCAGCTCTAGCATTTACTAGCTGTACAGCCTTGAGCAAATAATTTAACCTCTCTAGCCTCAGTTTCTTCAACTGTAAAGTAAGGTTAATCTCTTAAGTGGGGTCACTGTATCATGGGGCCATTTTGAGAAGACAATGAGATGATGTATATAAAATCATTAGGACAATGGGCTCTCATGAAATGGTAGGGCCACACCAACACCTTCGCCCCAAAGTTGCTGATTCCTCCACTGCTAGCTGCTCTGCAAGGAGAACAATAATAGTAACAATAATGACAGTGATGTTGAGGATACCAGGCCAAGAGAGGTGTGTCAGAGGAGCTTGGGAGACACCTTAGGGAAGGGAGGTCCAGGCTCCTCAGCAGGCTGAGGTTCAGGGCGGTACCCACATGCTGAGTGAGGCCTGGAGTGTGTAGTCCACCAGCAGAGGCAGGGTCATGGGCCGTAGGTCATCCTGGTGACTTGACCTGAGGAAGGAATGCAGGGGGTAAGGGGAGGAATATGTCAGCTGAGGCTGGGGGGCACCCAGAATACCTTAATTCCCATATAGACTTGTTTCCTGAGGTCACTCACGTGGAGAGCTGCAGCTGTGCCTGGAGTTCCCCTGTGTGTAGGGTCACTCCGATGACCTCGAAGGCAATGAGTAGATCCATCTGCCATAAGGGCAAGAGAGGCAGAGATGGGTGTTTGAGGCCAGGTAGGGGTGATGCCATGTGGAAGAGAGGGGCTGAGTGCTGTGCTAGGAATTTGGCTCTTTGGTCTCCACCTCCCACCTGTCTCCACTATTCCACCTTCCTAGCCTCATCTGCCTCCCTCTTCCCATTCTTTTCTGTTAGTAATAGCTCATGTAGCTCAATACTTCTGAGCTACATGACCTTGAGCAATCACTCAAGCTTTTGAAGCCTATGTTTCCTTTCTGTAAATCAGCACCAACCTCCTCAGAAGGCTGTGAGAAATATATAGAAGAATTGGGCTCAGGGCCTGGCACATGGCAGGTGCTCAGCAAAATCAGTTTCCTTGCCACCACCTGCTCTAGCTTTGTGCATAGTTCCCTAGTGGCTCCATTTTTCTGTCTCTGGGTCTCTCCCCACCCCCTATTGCATCCCTCCTCCCCAACTCTAGCTCTTTGATTCAAGGAAGCCTGGGAAGCAGGCAGGCAGAGGGAGGATAAGGAATTCATCAGAGGAGGAGCCTTGTACCCACAGCCCTGGGAGAGTACAGTCGGGCACTCACCCTCTGGTTCTGTTTGAAGGGGTTCCCCAGCTCACAAACGATGGTTTCATTGGCTTGGCAGGCTCCAGGCTGAAGAAAGAAGACAAATCACATCTAGGTGGTCAGACTAAGGCTTGTCCCATCCCTCTCCTGTGGCAGAGGGCCAGAAGCCCTCGAGGCTTGAGAACTGGGTTCCCCTAGGAGCAGAGACGCTGGAGGCACCTGAGGAAGCCCAGCCCAGAGGACCCTAGTCCCCTAGACCCACCCCCCCAGTGGGGGGGACACGTGGCAAATGACAACACATGTATCTGACATGTACGAAGGATGCATTGGGTCGTGGTTGGGCTCTGAGGAGGCAGAGGGCACTCACGGGGCGCACTGAGGACAGCAGCAGGGACGGAGACACTTCCAGGGTGAGGAGCGCCTCATGGGCATCTTCCCCAGCCCGCTTCCGGCTTGGGGTGTTGGTCACGTTGATGCTCAGGAGCAGTTTTCGGAGGTCTCTCCTGTACTGGAGCCTGAGAGGGGAGGAGAGCCTCAGACTGAGCCCAAAGCCCTGCCCCAAACTGTTAGGCTCCGCCCCTCAGAAGAAAGCCCTTTCTGGCCAGGGAAGGCCAATCTTATAGTTCTTGGCTAATTAAAATCCCTCCTCTCCGACTTGCCTCTCTGAGACCCCTCCCCTCGGGTCTCAACAGCTCTCTCCACTCTTTCCGACCAATAGGGCCCCGCCCCTCAATTTCTGATAGCCAATGAAGTCCGGCCCACCTTGGCCAACCAGACCTGCCCAGAGCGCACCTGCTTAGCCGCTGCCCCAACTCAGACACGAAGGCCGCCCGCATCTGTAAATTGCTGTCGCACCTATTGTCCTGCCCGCATTCCTTCTGGAACTGTACCTGTGGGTGGGTGGAGGTGTGAAGGGCCCACCATCTATAGCTCTCCAGGCCCTTGTCCTTCCGCCCCGGCCCCGGCCCCACCCACCTCCGTGTGGTTCTCCAGAGCCTGCGCTTGGTTGAGGACCGGGTAGGCGTCCAGGGACCCAAGCCCCAGTTGGGGGCGATCAGGCAACCGCAAAGGTAAAGAGTAGTTCATGGAGATGGTGATGGGTCGGAGTTTGTCGCGGACGTTGTCCTGGGAAAGGAAGGTGAGCTGAACCCAGCTCTGCACTGCCCTCCAAACCAAGTTGTATCCTCATACAAACTTAAACCCCTAGGGAGGAGCTGTGCCCCTCTCCCTCAACCCTAAAAAACCCCTGTAAGGCTGAATCCCCTCTGGTCTGCTCACCAAACTGACCCGCTTTGGTAAGAAGTGGCTCCTCCTCTCCAGAGACTCCTCTGGAGGAAGATTGAGCCTCCCTTCATTCCTGGGGTCCCCAAGTTGAGTTTTCCCTTTTCACTCTGATGTCTCAGAGAGAGCCTGAGCTTGTCCTCGCTTGTGGATGCCTTTCCCCAGAGACAAGCTAACAATCTCATATACTTCTCTTTGGCCCACATCCTGGCTCCAAAGGTCTCTGTTCTCTACCATGGGCTGGGTGTTGAGCCCTGTAGCCTCCACTTACCTATGACTTTCCAGGTCAATCCACAACCTCTGTCTCTGGAGAGAACTCATTCCCTCACCCTTGACCTCGGGGATTCTCCTGGGTACATGGAGTTACCTCCTCCTGGGGCCATGGAGTCAATGTACCGCCCCTCACCCCTCCCTCACCATCAGGAGCAGCTCCAGCATCTGGCAGTGCATCTCAGGCATGGAGAAAAAGCCATGGAAGACAGCTGAATGGCTGCGTGCAAAGTGGAGTCGGGGTGGGCGGCGGTCCCGGTCAGCCTCCAGCGTGTAGGCCAGGGCTGTGGGTGCATAGGGTGGTCAGCAAGTGACCAGGTGAGCATGCCTCCCCTCGCCCTACAGCCCAGCACTCACTGATGTTCCGCCTGTAGTTGGGGTTCCCTGCACTCTGGTTGTAAGCAAAGCACAGCTCCACCTGTACACTGTTGAGGGTGGGGGACACACAGAGGGTCAGGTCATGGTGGAACCCAGATACCCAGGTCCCATCTCTCACCCCATTTAGTGGGCAAGAGGAAGCAGGGTCTTTGGGGGAAAGGCAGGGACAAAACTGAGGAGTCTACAGAGCTGGGCTGGGGTGTCCCTGGTCTCTTCAAGCCATAGAAAACAGGGTTAGAGGGCACCAATGGGGAAGCTGAGGTCCTGAGACTAAAGGAGTTGCCCGAAGCCAGGTGTTGGCCCAGCCAAGTCTTGGGCAGGATCCCCAGTCCAGATCTCTTTCCCCACCACCCGCTGCTTCCCTACTTCATCTCCCTCAGCTTTCTGATCCATTATCCTCATTCACTAATAGACCTTGGGGTCATCACTGTCATTATTGTAACCATCTTAGCAACTACGCTTTTTGAGCACTTAGGATTTACAGAGTACCATGCTAAGGGCTTTTTGTACATTATCTCATTTGATTATCACAATGACCCTGTAAATTGTTTTTTTTTTTTTTTAATTAAAAAATTTTTTTACTGGAGTATAGTTGCTTTACAGTGTTGTGTTAGTTCCTGTGAATTGGTTATTATTATTAGCACTCCCTAGAGCCCATCCCTACCATTGCAGTGGGCAAAACTGGAATCTGAACCAAGCAGACCAGAGCTCCAACCACCATGCCCTACCTGCACCCCCCACCCCCACAGTTCACCCATTAGCAAGGAATCTTACTCTTTAATGAGGTTGAGTGGGGAGGGCAATGCTTTCCCAAGAATCAACCCTTTAATGGTGGGGTATCAGGAGTTGCCAGGGAAGGGTTTTGAAAGCCAGGGTCCCTCCTGGGCTTCCCAAACATCAGGAGGAATGAAAAGGGCAGACTGGGGCCAGAGGGTCTCACCAGGAGGTGGCCGTGCAGAACGCAGGGTCCAGTATGGATGGCCTGGCTACCAAGGTCTTGTAGAGGATATTGATGACAGGCCGGGCCCTACAAAGAAAAACCAGACATCAGTGCCTCAGGCCTGCCCCAGGCCAGGCCAGGGTCCGGGCTCAGGCTTGATGGACCTGATTCTGAAGGAGGACAGAGCTGAGGCTCCATGCAGACAGGGACAGAAGAGAGAGGCCCCCATCCACCATTGCCCTGGCTCACCTCAGCAGCACAATACGGTCTGACAGGCTCCCCACCAGCAGATCTGGGTAGAAGTTCTCATCCACGTCCATCTGCCCACTCAGGGAGTAGCCAAAGGTGGTCAAGCCAGGCAGTCCCAGCTGCTCTCCATGGATTACCTGGGGGCGGGGGGAGGTAGTGGGGACAGGCTCTGGGGAAGGTTCCAGAGAACGGGGCCCATGGGGAATAGGCAGGAGTGCGTGAGGAAAAGGAAGAAGGTGCCTCTGTCCCTGGCCATCTGTACCTGCTGGGGCAGTCTGAGGAGCCCCCTGGAGCTGCCATGGTAGATGTACACTTTGCCCAAGCCCTCGAATGGGGCTCCCACAGCAATGTCTGGGAAAGAGAGAGAGTTCAGGGTCACCCCGGTTACTATGGGTCCCACAGTTTTCCAGCCCTGTGCTGCAGGCCACAGAGCCCAGCATGGCGTGACCTCCCTGTCAAGCAGTGCTCAGAGCAGGAGGGGACAGAGTTCTGTGACTTAGGATTAAAACTGGGCCCATTAGGCACCCAATTGCCTCCTTTATATATGGGAAATTAGGCCCAGGAGAGGAAAGTGACTTACCAAAGTCACACAGCAAGCTAATGTCTCAGGCAGGTCTAGACCCCAGATTCCTGACCACTGGCTATTTGTTTTCCCTTATTATTGTGCCTTCCTTCTCCCCTGTCAACTGCCCCTCCAGACACCTGGTTCTTCTCATGACATTTACCAGCAGGGTCACAAAAGCAGGTGTTCCCCATTTGTGACTTTGCCTGATAGTTAAACACTCATGTCATCCAGTCCTCACGAAAGTGCTGGCAGTAGGTAATACCGTCCCCACTTCGCAGATGAGGAAATAGGCTCAGAAAACTCAAAGTCGGACAGCTAATGAGTAGAGAAGAGGCTATTTGAGCCTATGTCTGTCTAACAGTGGGGGCTGGGATTTTCATCACAACACTATAACTTTTCTTGTTAAATTCTAACCATTATTTCCACAAAATAACCCCCAAATGTTTTGTCTTCTTAAAACTTTCTAGTTTGCTGCTTTTGATCTGATAAGGCCTAGGTAATTAGAAAGTCAAGCTTGTAGGAAAAGTAGGCAAAGGAAGAATAAGTAGGTCTTGAGTGACAGCTTGGCAACTCGGATCAGTAAGTGCTTGGGCTTCATTAACTGAACTTTCTAGCACCTATTTTGGCTCTTTAGAGGTTCCTCTGCCTTCCTTCTGGTTTTTAGATATATTCTGGGAAATTGAGGTTATCAGAGAAATGACTTCCAGATAAGCCAGGTGCTCCCATGGCAACCAGGCTAAACCCCTTGATTTATCCCTCTCCTTGACATGCAAGGTCTGATTGGTCTCCAAGTCCTGCAGAATAGTAACTGGCATCCCCTATATCCAGAACTTCTACTGTGTCCCTGTGCTTAACACCCACACCTGGTATAGTATATATATACTTAAATATTTATTTATTTGTTTGTTTATTATTTATTTATTTATTTGGCTGCATCAGGTCTTAGTTGCAGAATGCAGGTTCTCTGGTTGTGACATGCGGGCTTAGTTGCCCCTCAGCATGATCTTAGTTCTCCGACCAGGGACTGAATCTATGTTCCCTGCACTGCAAGATGGATTCTTAACCACTGGACCACCAGGGAAGTTCCACACCTGATATAGTAATACTATATTATTTTTTAAATTTTTAATTGGAGGATAATTACTTTATAATATTGTATTGGTTTCTACCATACATCAACATGAATCAACCATAGGTAATACTATATTCTTGATCTTAATATCCCTAGCCTTGCTCCCCACCTCCATTCACCCCACATCTCCCTCCAGAATCATCTTTCAGGGTACCAAGCTATCATGTCACACCTCTGCCCTCAAATCTTTTTGGACACCCATCTACCATAACCCAGCACAAAGCCCTAGTTTTACTGCATGGTTTTCAGTGTCCACCCCACCCCTACACTACCTCTCCAGCCACATCTCTGATGTGAACACCTCATACCCACTATACATCAGCCAAAGGTACCATGCTCACATTTTGCCCCTTCTGTTCCCACCACTGTGTACACTCAGCCTGGCCTTTGATGCCCAGTGGTATGTTCACTGTTCCAGGAGGTCTACTGAGCTCACCCCTGGGGGCTCCCTCTGCACTGCTGTGAGCTCCCCAGACCTGGGCCCGAATCTGTCTCCTTTTTGGGCCCCATCAAGCCTGGTATGCAGCTGGCTCTCTCTCTCACTGGGTTCTGGGGCGGGAGTGCTGGCTCATACCCTGGAATCCGTCTTGGTTGATGTCACCAATGCTTGCCACAGAGAAGCCAAAGGCGGAGCGACTGGGGCCGTGAAGAAGGAGGGAGGGGTGGTTGGGGAAGGAGGTGCCTGCCTGGTTCATGAAGATATAAACTGCACCCCCTACTTCCTCTTTCCGCTCAAAGTAATAGGGGGCACCCACCAGGAGGTCCTGCCACCTGCATAGGAAAGAAGGAGGGGGAGATGCAACACGCAGCATAACTGTTATTTAGCAGACACAACTGTGCCAGGCAGGGCACACAACTCTACAAGTGATGCCTCTGGCCATAGGTTGTGGGAAGGACATGGAAGTGTCAATGTGACTGATCTAATAGAAAACACAGGTTGTGGAGAAGCCATGTACACACAGATCACACCCAAACAGCTCATATCCACTAGGGCCATACGAATGACAGGCACAGACAGTGAGATGCAGGCATCATGAAATTGACATGCAAACACCCGGAATCCCATAAAGTCTGATTACAAATCAACATGCAAAATGGATTTGTAAATTCCTGCAAACAACAGGCAAAAAAATGTACAGTTGCAAACCTCTATTTCTCTGCCCTCACTCGTGCAAGCCCACCCACTCATCATTCTCCCTGGCCACAGAGAAACGTCCCTGGATTCTCACCCATCATTGTTCAGGTCTGCCAGGGCAATGGCACTGCCAAAATAGGCTCCCACCTGCGTGCCCTCCAGCACCTGCCTCCTCTGCAAGTCTCCACCTGCTTCCTGGCTCAGCAAAAAGACAGCGCCCACATGTTGGTGCCGCGGGGCGCCTGTCACAATGGTGATGTTTGTGGGGTGCAGGATGGCACTGCCCACCTGCATCGTGTAGCCTGGGATGGGGGGAAGGTGGTCAATTGAGACTCCAGTAAGGTTGGTCCCCTTGTACTCTGGTCATCTCCCAGTATCCCCCACTATCTTCTATTCCTCTATTCTAAGTTGGGCAAGAAAGTGGACCTTGGATGCCCAGCCCCAAGCCCTGACTGTACCCTGACCATGAACTCCATGAGGGTCATGACTCTGCCTCTGGGGGGAGTATACAGCTGGTGCTCAGGGTGTGCTATCTGAACTGAATGCTACTGGTCTCGGTGCAGCCTGGCCTCTCTGCTCCACAGGCACCAGTGTGCCAGGGACTGAGCCCCCTTCTCCTCCCCACCGAAGGGCCACTATCACTGGACTCACCAATATAGAAGTTTCCTAGGTCCTCTGGGTCCTTGTAGCTATATTCAGACAAATCCCAGTCCTTCCGCTGAATCATGTAGCTGTTTCCTTCACAAAGATTTGAGGAAGGGGGTATATAAGTCACCACTCCTTTCCTCCACCATGTCCAGCCCCCATTCCAGATGAGGATAATAATAACCCCTTTGATCTGTGAGTACTTTGCCATTTGAAAATCACTTACTCTTTATTTTAACAATTCTGAGCTAGAACGATGACCCGCATTTTGCAGATGAGAAAAGTGAGGCTCAGGGATGGAGAGCTAGGGATGGAGGCTCAGGGATGTCCAGTCATGGCTGGAATCCAGTCATCTGGGTACTGACATACTATCAATAGATGACATTTTCCCCACCCTAGACAACGAAGCCAAACTCACACCATTATCTCCTAATCCTGTCCCCAGACTTGGGCTACCGACTTTCCCCTGTCCCCCAGGCTGCTGCTGGAGAGTACCTTGGCCCTGCCAAGGAGTGGGAGGTAAGACTAGCAGAGTGAGCAGAGGCCTCAGCCTCAGGTGAGCCCAGAGCTGTGACTATGCCCTGGGCAACCTGTTGGTCAAGAGGACAAAATAAATAAATCATTGGAATGTAACATACCACCTAAGAAATATAGTCAATAATAATGTAATCACTTTGAAGAGTGACAGATGGTTTCTTGGCTTATAGGGGTGATCATTTTACAATGTACTTAAACGCTGATCAGTATGCTATACACCTGAAACTAACATAATATTGTACATCAACTATACTGCAATTAAAAAAAAACAAACAAGATTCTGGGCTCCCTCTGCTTGTTGATTTTGCAATAGTAGGTGCAGTAAGGGAAAAGAGGTCGCTGTTGCTATAGCCTGTGGTGGAGAGAGGCAGGTGGAGGGTGTGTGAGCTGTCAGACACCTAAAAGGCAGTATATGGTGTGGCAGAATCAAGCATGAGTTTTGATATAAGAAAATACTTTGCAGCCCTCTCAAAAGATTGCCTTGTATGTACTGACATGAAAGCATGTCCACAATTTTTATTGATACATGAAGAAGAAGTAGAAGAACAATACATTTAAAATGATTTTCTGTGTGGGTATGTGTGTTTCTTAAGATACCTATATATTCTAAAACAGGTCTGGAAGGACCCACAAGACACTTAGCAGTATACATTGGGAAATGGGACAAGGGAGATGTGGGAGAAGAAGGGCACTCTTCCTGTTTATTTTACTGTACCATTTAGTAGTTGTACCAGGAATATGTTTTTATTTTTTAACAAGTTTTTAAATGGTTAACCTGGCATCAGATGGACCTACGTTCCAATACACATTTCAGGACTTATTATGGCCTTGGGCAATTTATTTTACTTCTCCAAGGCTCAGTTTTCTGTAAAATGGGTATAATAATTCTTGCACTTTAAGATTAATTAAGATAACAGGTCTACCTCTGGTACCTAGAAAACGCTTTAAAATAGCACAGGTCGAGGTGGTTGCTGATGGTGGCAAGGGCATGCTCTCCTCTGCCCTCTTGAGTGGAAGCTCTGGCAGGCTGCCTCAGGGCCTAATGGGGTGGTGGTCTCTGCTCCTCTTCCCTTCCCCCACGGTCCCCACCTTTCCAGTTGTAGGCACCAGGAGCACCAAAGTACACGGTGTTTTGGGTGAAGCCGCCGCTGGTGCCCAGCTGGCACATGCCTGTCTCCAGGTAGTCGGTGTTGCTGTTGCACATCTCGTTGTGGTAGGTCTGCCAGTCATCCGTGGTATTCAGCTCCAGGTCGTTGCCTCTCACATAGCACTTGCCCACCATGCGCCGCTGGTCCTCTAACCCCGACCACAGCACTTGGGTGTAGCGGTGGGCACAGGCCTGGGGACCCCCCCCACACAACACACACAGCTAAGCCCGCAGCAGGGACTCAGGAACGGAGTCTCCACGGCCCCGTGCACCTCTGCTTTTGCAGGAGAGGAGTGGAAAGCGGCCTCCGGCTTTTCTCTCTTCCCACAGGGATGCCTGGACCTGCATTGCCTTTCCAGAATTCTGAAACCTGCCCTGAAGGTTAGGAACACTTTTTGGAAGACCAGAAGGTACTGGATTTGAGAGTAGCTTGGAGATCTCGGCAAAATAAAAAGGGAAAAGGATGAGGGGATGTGGGTTTCAGGTTCTTGGGTCTAAAAGGAGCTAGACACAGAGCAGGTTAGGAAGTTGCTTCTCTGTTGTCCCCTGATGATCCTGCCCTCTTAATAAATGGATCAATATTAGAATAACAACAACCACCACAGCAGCAGCAGCTAATACTTAAGAGTGCTTATTTACTTAGTAAGTATATGCCAGACACAAGTCTGAGCTTTTTGCATATTAATTCTCTTAAGCCTCCTACCAGCTCTATGGGCTAGGGATAATTACTTCCTCGTTTTAGATAAGGACACTGAGGCACAGAGAAATAAGCAACCTCACATCTAAGAGAGGCAGGGGATAGTCAATCCAAGGCTATTGGGCTCTGGGGTCAAGCTCTTAAGCACCAGACTGTGCTGCCTCTCTAGAAGCTTCTCCCAGCACATGAGAGGTGCTCCATTAAAGTTTATTGGGCAAATCAATAAGAATAAGGTATTTGTAAAACAGCCAGGGGCCAGAGGAAACCCAGAACCAGGCCTAGTTCTTGTTTGCTTGTCTTTTGTGTCCCTTTTCACCTGTGAATCAAACTTATGCTTGTGCTGGCCCGAGTCTGTCCCGAGTCACTGGGAAGTTTCTAGTGTTGGCACGCAGGACATGCTCACTAAAAACGAACTGAATGAATGGACGGGCAAGTAGAAGACTGTGGAAGGACCCAAGGTCTGGACTGACTTAGGTGGAGCCCTGGACCCACCATCCTTAACAAGAGACTAGAAAATGTGTTTCAGCGAGCTGGTCAAACCCAGAGCTTACGACAATGTTCAAAGATGACAGAAACCACAACAGTGATGACTATGGGGGTGACAAGTTACTGAAAAGGAGTGCACTGTCCAGACTGATGTAAGTATTCTATTTCTTTAACGGGTGTTGATTACTTGGGTTTATAATTTGCCAAAACTCAACTGAAACATAAAATCTGTACATTCACTGTATGTAAATGTTACATAAATTTAAAAATGAAAAATAAATTGTCTATCTGGGACTCAAAAATTGAGATCCCAGGGGCCAGCACTGACGAATGCAGGCTGGAGGTGACAACTGACAACAGGGAGTGGCCCCCAACCCAAGCCGGATGAGCTGGGGCAGAAGGGCTGTGCTTCTTCCGTCAGCTGGCCTCCCCAGAAGGAGTGCGTCCAGGCCACACTGCCTGAGGCTCTCTCTGCCCTTTCCATCTCGTAGTCCCCTCAACTGATTCCCACAAAGGGTGAGCACCGCCCCTACCCTGGGGTGGGGGGAATGGGTGATTCAGAAGGGACCCAGGCTGGCCCTTGGGAGAGCGCCAGACACCCTCCCCATCCCCCCGCCACAAGTGCAGGATGAAGGGACACACATGCACATGGAGACATACAGCTGCAGAAATCGACATTTGCAAGCTCATGCACCAAGTTCCCTTCTGCTCTCTGCTTCCCTCTGCAGCTCCTGGGAGATGAAAGGAGACGTCTGGAGGGGGATCCGATGGTGAGCCCTGACTTACCAGGACTCTGCCTGCAGGGCCCTGGCTGGCCACAGTCACGCCGAGCCACATGTCCTCAATGATGTGGTTAGGGTTACCTGTGGGCATGAGAGGGCTCATGAGCCAGGGCACCTCATCCCATCCTCTAGGCATCCAGTGCCTTCAGAGGGCAGGAGTTGGTCCCTCCCAGATCTCCCACTCCAGCAGGGCCACCCTCCTTCCCTGCCTTCCCCAGCTCATCACAGTCTGAGCTCCACAAACCCCATTTGGTCCCACTCTTCCCTAGGGCTCCCTCTTCCCAGGTGGATAAGAAAGCACTGAAGCTGCCCAGCTGAGCCTTCTGTCTCTTCTAGTCATTCTCTCTGTGCTACCTCCTCCACCAGCCTCCTGACCCAGCACCACTTCCTAGGCCCTCTTCTCACTTTTCTCCTTGATGTCCATCCGCTCACAGTCATTCTTGTGGGCAGTGAGTGGGCACAGATACACAGCACCAGTCCGGTTGGTAGAGCCATCAGGCGCAAAGTCCCGGGGGGCACCAGCCAGGAGCCTGGGGGCAAGAAGGTAGTAGACTCAGGCTCACACTCGTCAAAGCCTGCTTCAAACAACTCACTGCTTGGTGTGCATGTACCGAGCATCTGCTCTGTGCCAGGCTCTGAGGGCAGGAGATGAATGGCTATGTGCCCCTCCCTCGAGGAGTGCCCAGGGTGGGGAAGGCAGGCAAGGAGACAGATACCTGTGGTCAGTGCCTCATGAGAGGAAAGCAGGGTGCAAACCAGCCCCGACTCTGCATGGAGGGCAATCAGGGAGGCCCACAGAAGAGTACTTTGGCCTGAGTCTGAGGATGCTGCCCAGGGCTCACCAGGTAAAGAAGGGGAGGAAGGGCACTGCAGGCTGAGGTCTGGCATGTGCAAGAGCCAGGAATCGTGAGCAAGAGGGTGACTCAGGGATCTGCCAGGCCCTCGGTACAGCTGGAGGCCAGACACATGGGGAGGAACAAGAGGGCAGGGTGAAAAGGGAAACTGTGGAGGGATTTTAAGCAAGGCAGAAACATGGCAAGATCTGGGTTTTGGAAGGACTGTTTTGGTATCTGACTGACATAAGCAGATCTAATTTGGGGAAAGAACTCTTGGCTTCTGAGATGAAGGTAGATGGGAAAGAAGATGGCAGCGTTGTCCTGGCATAAGATTTAAACTCTCAGAGATCTGAGGAAAGGATGTGTGAGGTGGTGGGGAGGGGTGGATAGTTGGAGGCGTGGGTCCTACCTCTTTCAGCCATCGGAGGACTTAAATCTTGGGGTGGTCTGAAGAACGTGGGCAGGAAAGGACAACTGACCCCAAACCACAGCTGGGTGACCTGAGTCAGCAGGGTCCTTAAGTGACCCTGGGGTGTCTTCTGGCCCCCTTTCTACCGTGCTGAGACAGATTTATGAGGTATGGGGGTGATGGCAGGAGAGCAGGGTACCTGACATTTTGGGCGGAATGGTGAGCACGAGAGTGGGGGTGAATGAGGACTGTCAGTCATTTTGTCCCCAGTCTTCCTGGAGCCCGTCTTTAGGGATGCCACCTACAAGTCCCTACAAGGGTTCTTAGGGCTCTAGCAGCCCATCCCATACCAGACAGGTGACTAGAGGAGAGGAAGGCAAGTGATCATCCTTGACATATTCTCTCAAAAGGTAATTCTTGGACCACTAGAATAAAAAATCCCTGTGATATTTGTTCAACAGGCAAATTCCTCAGCCCATCACAGACAGCCTGAGTTGAATCTGAGGGTAGAGCCCTGGAACCTGCATATTTAACATACACCTCAAATATTCACATCGCGGTTTGAGAGCCCAGCTCTACCACCCCTTGCTCTCCCAGCATCATCTGTCTGCAGCCTTTGGACGTTCTGCCAAGACCAGCTCCTCAATCCTGCTAGACCCTGCCTCCTGGGTGGCAGACATCTCCCAGATACTCCTCCATCTGCCTCGGCAATGCTGGTTCCTGAGGCTCCCAGCTCGGAACTGGGGTGCCAGGCCTCCTGTCAGAGCCTGGATATGCAAAACAACAGCCCTGCCCGCAGCTCCTGCCTGGGACCTGACAGTGAGGGCAGCAGGGATTGGGCAGGGCCAGGCCTGGGCATGCCAGGGCCTGGGTGCCTCCACCCACTGGGTGTCAGGAATGTGCTGCCTGGGGGTGCCGTGAAGGGCCTGCACCTCACACCTCAGCTCAGACTTCACCCTGGAGAACAGTTCCTGAGGGCAGGGGTGCAGCTTCTCTATGCAGGGCAGGGCGGGCAACTCTAACAGAAGGGCTGGCAGGGAACCAGCATGGCAGCCAGGCCCTGTTAGTCATCCTTGATCTGGGCTGAGGCGGGTACCTAGTGAGCCCATGGCCTCACCACCTGTAGACATCTGCCCCCAGTGTGCCCAACAGGTGATAGCGGGGAGCCGCTGCCCATGGAAAGGGAATATTTCAGCCTTGGAGCTGAGGGGTCTGGTTCTAGGTGTCTTCTGTCTCCAAGGACAATTTCCTTTCCCCTCTCTGAGCTGTGAGTGCCTCATCTGTAAAATGGGACTGCAGCTGCTCCACCAGCCTCCAGGATTGCTGGTGGAACAGTGGGTTCATTCTTTAGAAGGGCCTTCTGACTATGAAGCTGATAACCATGTGAGCACTGTGGTTCTGCTTTCTTGTGGCACCAGGATGGCCCCAACACACCCCAGGCCTTGTTCTGGGGACCCGGGAATTTCTGCCCTGCCAGGTGAGGGCATCTAAAGCAGAGTGCACCGAGCAGACTAGTTCAGGTGTGTGGATGGGGCAGAGGGTGACGAGGAAGTAACACTTCGGGGGCCGAAGGGTACCAGGCCATCAGTCAGGTGGGTGGGCTACTGGCAGCTGGTCATTCGAGGGTGGGAGCTCAGATTTGGCTGGAGGTAACAGCTGGGGGTTGGCTACAATGACCTTGGAGGGGTGGGTCCAGGCCTCAGTGGGCGAGGGGTCCCTGGAGAACCCAGATTGCATTCCAGGGCGAGCAATGCAAGGGAAGTGTTGCTAGGCCTGCTGCTTTCCAGGCCCAAGTTTAAGTGCTGGAATGGCTGAGGAACAGGTGGCCACACCCTCCCAGCTGCCTCATCTTAGAGGGAGTGGCTTGAGGGACCCCCTCCAGTTAGCCTCCTGTGGTACTGAGAAGGCAGAACTGGGCATGAAGAGCAGTCGGACTGACATAAAACCCCTTACTACCTGTACCCTCTCTGCTCTCACCCTGCACCAGCCTGTGCCCACTGAGGGGAAGTGGGGCAAGACCCTAACCCCAGCCCTGCATCCCAGGCCCTTCCCTCCCCAGAGATTCCACAAGGTGCTCCCCCCACCTCCCTGGAGTATTTTTAGCTCCTACTTGGCCCGCTTAGAGGCCCTTTAAGGCCCTCTGGCTCCCAGCCCAGGATCTAATGGATCCACAGCCAGAGGACTGGGAATAGACGGAGGGAGGAGGGTATGCCGAGGGCCGGGTCTAGCTTCCTCCAGCCACAGTCAGGTGTGGGAAAATCCAGAGGGTGGGAAAGATCTTTTTGTTGCCGTTGTAAATGAATGTAAGTTACTAAGCAAATGAGCACACTGCTCCTGCTGTTGGATCTGGTCCAGATCAGATCAGATCAGAAGCTGATCCCTCCCAGGCCACCACTGAGGTCACCCTCCTGGCAGCGGTCAGAAGCGGGATGCAACGCAGGATACTTTGTTCAGCTCTTGCAGCAAGGGAGAAAGGAGATTGGACGGCCTCTCTCCTAGAGTCAGGCTGGGCTGGGTGGGAGCTGGTGCCTCTCCAGGTGGTAGGGAGATGAGTAAAATGACCTCTCAAGAGCTTTCAAGCAGCTGCCTCTTCACCCTACTTTTTGGCTCCAGCCACACAGCCCCTCCTGGCCTTTGTAGAGGCCCCTGAGCTCCAAGTCCAGAGAAGCCCTTTCTCACTCCTACCCCTCCCACCCCCCACCCCATCACTCTTCCTGGGGCAGATCAAAGCTAATGCAATAGCCAAGTAGAAAGCAGCAGAATCAGAGAAGGCTGGGGAACAGGGCCCAGGGGTGTCAGGGCACCAGTTGGTTCACCCCAGAGAAGTCTCCCTGGGGCATACTGGGGCGGGATGATGTTCAGAGAAACAGCCCGTAAGATTCAGCTTCCCAGACTCATCACCTCAGGTAGGCACTGGGGTGGCCCCAGCGGAAAGACTTCAGTTAACACTGAGGGGCCAGCGAGTCCAACACTCAGGCCATGGGTCCCCATGCCTTACTCCTTTGGCCAGAAAGCCGGTTAGGGAGGGTTCCACTCCAGCTCTGAGTGCTTGGGTGGGGTGTGGTGCAGTGGGGTAGGGGGCAGCTCTCTGATGCCTGAATCCCAGCTCTGTGCCAACCCTCTGCCTGAATTAGCCATATCCCCAGAGGCCGCTCCTGTGTTAGCTGAAACACTAGCTTCTTCGTCCTCCCCAACTGCCCCCAGTCCTCTTTCCCCTCTGGTGACTCAGCCTAGAATCTGAGCACCAAGCTGGGGAAATGACAGAATGAGAGGACAGGAGAAAGAGGCCTTGCTCAAACCTCCAATAATAAAGAACAAGACTGTTTTTCTCATTTCTTCTCCCTCTCTCTGGCTCCTTAGTTATTTTTTTCCCCACATCTGATCCCTTAGGGCATTTTTCATGTCCTCTAACCTCAATCCCCCTTATTGTAACCACCATCCTCTTCCTTCTTTGTTTAGTTCTGATCAAGCCCTTTCTCATTTCTACAAGATCAGGCTGCCCCTACCTCCCACCCAGTTTTAAGTGCCTTGGCCTGGTCTGGTCATTGGACAACACCAGAGAAAAAGGACACTGCGCATCCAAACCTTCTGCTTGCAGCCACAGCTGCTCTGCCCATTTCCTCTGGCACGAGCCTTGCAGGCTGCCAGGTGCCTGCCCTACCCAGGGAAACATGTTTTAGGGGAACAAGTAAACCTGGTTCCTGCCTACTTCAGGTATGACCTCATTTTTCTGGAGCTGTGGCCACCCCTGCCCCAGGCTTCCCAAACACCCTCATTTCCAGGCAAAGGCCCCAGAGGTATCTCCCATAGTCCACAAGGTCAGGTCAGACCAGGACACCTAGATTCCCAGGAGGGAATGACAGAACAGGTACTGGGGGAAGGCAAGGGAGGTCCGTGACCATCTCCCAGAGGAATAGTCCCTCTGCTTCCCCAGGGGTCCTCACATATCTCACTAACAAGCCCAAAGCACCCTGGTCCTCTCCCCTTCCCTGCCCTGCTCCTGATCTCCAGGAAACCGGAGATTTCAGAGACTGGGAAATTGGGGCCGGGGTTAGAGTAAGCCTCTGATATTGTGGGCATGGAACCAAAGTCTAAAGATGAAGGTGATGGGGAACAAAGACACACTTTTGTTTTTAACCATTACTACAATAAGGCCTTTTTTGAGAATATAATGAAAGTTATGCTTTTCTGTCCTCCTGGCTCTAGAATAATGCACAGGCATGCAAAACTTTGCATATACTTTCCAAGGTCCCTGTATCTTCTGAAAATCTGCAGGGAACTCCAGGCTCAGACTTTGTTCAGGATCATGAACCCTCCCCCATTTTCCAAAGGGACTCTGAAGCTAACAGAATATAAGACTGCCACTTGACTTGCTGGTTCCCCTGAGCTGTGTACTCAGGCAGCTATTTACATCTGGTTACACAGCAGGCTGCAGCTAAGCCCAGCTGGCCCAGCTGGTTCTCCCAAAGGGTCATGGGGCAGAATTCAGTGAGATGAGGAGACGAGCCAAGATGTAGAATCACCCCTGGAAAGACTGAAGATTCCAAAGTGAGTCACCCAGAACACTATCTAGAACTACCTGTTGTTCTGAGATTCATCAGTTTTAGAAACTTCTGGGCTCCTGAAAGGCCTAATGCCATCTCTAGATGCCCAGGAAGAAAAGTAGGACTCCTCCACTAAGTCACCTTGAGTGAGGCCCTTGGTTAGCACAAGAGCCCTCAGCTGATGCAGTATATAACCCAAATCATCTCCTTAAAACCTCACTATTACCCCCATGAAGAAAGTGCCCTAATATGTGAAGAGTCAGGTATTAGTGACAGATTCTAGATGGGAAACTGGTCATGGGATTGGGAGCCTCTTCTTTCTCCACAATGCCAAGTTGCCTTCTATAGACCAACAGAGGCAGGAAGGCGTATATAGATCCAGGCTGAACCCCTTTCTCAGGAAAACAGGCCTAGAAATATCCTGTTTAAGGTCACAGAGCAGAAAATAAAAATTAAAAAAGGCTGGGGGCGGGTAGGGAGTATTGCATATTACAGAAACTATTATTTCCTCCAGCTTTTCATTACCTACCCTTGCTTTTCTGATGTTCTCTTTACACTACATTGCCTTATATCATGTTGATTCAGCATTGAAAATCTGAAAATTTTTTTCTGGGCTGGGGCAGAAAAAGCACTAATATAGAAACTTAAGCTGATGGTCACTTAGAATCTTGAAAAGATGGAGTACTGGCTAAGGCTAGACCACAGCTGCTGGGGCCGGGCTGGGAAGGATGTGGTAGCCCCAACTTCTGCAGAAGACAGATGGAATTGAGGCCAAGTAGGCAGGTAGACTGGGCAGGGGCTGGGCCAGCAGGGCAGGGGCCAAGGCTGAGGCAGAGTCTGGACTTTGGACATTCCAACTTCCTCAAGTTTCTGCAGGTTCCAGCCAGAATTGGGAAAGGTTTCAACACACCCTTTACCTGACCACGTCCTCTTGCTCGGCAGGGTCTGACATCTCAGTAGGTCAAACAGAAGAGCCTGCCTGTGCTGTCCTAACAGCCTTCCCTCCTGGACAGCCTCACCTTCCCCAGCTGCCCTTTTCCTCCACCTGCCAACCTCGGCACACTAAGCCCATGCAGAGAAACTTCTCAAACTTGGACATGCTCCTCTGGGCATGATATAGGGTGGGGGGACAACATAAGCAGCTGGATGTGTCTCCTTCCCATCTCTCTTCTCTGTCTAGCTCTTTCCCCTCCTTCTCCTGCAGCTGTTGGGGAAGGAGAACAGAAGAGAAAAACACTATTTCCCTCCTGAAACCAAAACAAACACACTCAGGGTTGAAGATTCAACATGAATCCGTGGAATGCGGGGAGACAGAATCGTCTAGTGGGAGGGCATCACTGCTGGGGGTGGGGGTGGGGTGCAGGAAACCAAGGGGGAGTTGGGACGGCTCCTCCTCTCACTGCTACTTCTGCATCCTCCAGGGGTCTGAAGGAGCGCCTGGACAGCTCCAACCACCCAGACTCACCCGTCACCTCTCTCTCCAACCACCAAACACTTGAGAAGGCCCTCCAGTCTGGTTCTGCGCAGGGTGTGGCTGGCGGGGCCACACACTAAGTGTGAGGTGGGGGCGGGCTTAAGTGCATGTGCCCGTAGGTGCTTCCGGGAAAGGAGAAAGGCGTTTATCTTGCATTTTCCCCAGTTCCCAGCCCTGGAGAGAAGAGGCATTCGGTCCACTAAATTCCCGGTTCATTGAATGGGAGGCGTCTCAGGAAACGGGGACTCCACTTTATTCTCAACAGAGGTTTATAAGGCTGAGGGGCTGAGTCTAGACAGGTTCTGGCCAGGTCAGCACTTGCAAATGATTACTGCCCCCATCCCACTTCCAATCCCTCTATTTCCCGCCAAACTTCAGCAGCAGGAGAGCCGCCTAGGTCCCCGCTCTCTCAATCTTAGCTCCCAAAAGCCGACGGCCTGCGAGCCTGGAAGCCACCGGGCCCTAGGGCTCGGACTCAGCTCGAGATCCGCATCCTGTGCGCACACTCTTTCTCCCACCCACTCTGGCCAGTTTCACTTACAGGTAGCGCTGTTGTCGCTCTGTCTGCCGATGGAGGGCGACCGAGTAACCGAAGAGGCTGCCCGGGTTCCCTGCCTCCTTCACCACCAGGAATCGGGTGTCCAGGTTGAAGGCGGAGGCGGCGCGGTTGCTTGCGGCCACCATCAAGGCGAGCGTGCCGAGCAACGGGCGTAGGACGCCGGCGGCGCGGCTGGGGCCGGGGCCCATGGCTGCTGGCGGGAACCTGTCCCCTGGCGAGAGCGCGTGAGGGCGTGGAGCTGGGAGTGAGGACCTGTTCACCTGCTCCCCCGCGCTACCGGAGAACACTCCCGCCGGCCGCGTAGTTAAGCCCCGCAGCGCTGATCAGTTTCTGGCCCCCAGACTTGGTCAATTTTACATCCGCTCACGGTCTGAACGCTCAGATTTCCCTCGGAGGTCCGACGGGCTGTTCTCCCGCCTGCACTGTCCCGGGTCACCGCCCCCCTGCCCTGGGCACCCTGCCCCCCAGCTCGCACCGGCCGCGCCCACTTGGCCGCAAAGTCGCCTCCGATCCGGGTTCGGCGGCAGATCTGAGCAAGCAGACCGGTCCACCGCAAGGAAGACTGGAAGGAGGGGGTGTCCCCCCGCGCGCGCCCCGCCTCCCCACGCCCAGGCCCGCACCTCCCCACCTTGCGCGCCCAGCCAGGGCTAAGCTTTCCTTCCGGGGAAAGAGAAAAGGTCCCTGCTCGGCCGCCGCCTCTTAAAGGGGCAGCACCGCCCCTCCCTCATCCTTCCTGAGCCGGCTCCGCCCTCTCCCGCAAACACCTGTCGGGAGACCCCAAAAGCTTGGGTTTCCCCTCCCCTCCGCTTGCTTCTCCAGAGAAGCGTCGCTTCCCGAGCAAGATGGATTGGACGGGCGGAGCCGGGGGTGGGATTTGTCCCGCTGCTTTGCTGCGGCCGCTGGAAAGGCCGTTCCGGGCGCGGCCACCTCTGTGGGTCCGGCTGGAGAGCCCCGGCGTTGGCGCATCTGGGAACCAATATCCGCAAGCCACCGGCTGGAAGGCTCTACTCTCCTCCGCCGCGCTGTGAGTCCCTGAGAGAAGGTTAGCGGTCTCTGAGCATTCTTCCTGGTACCCAGCCCCTTCGCCTTCCTTGTCAAGATTTTTTTCTTTTACCCACTTGTTCCCACCCACTTTGACCCAGGCGGGGAATGGTCTCACACAATCAGACAGATATTTAGCAGTGGTAATAACCAAGCATCGCTAATTATAAACAGCAACGACAGCGTTTTCTCCGGCGGGCTACGCCTTCTGACATCTACTGTATCATGAATATCCATTCGATGTGGAAAGAAGTCCCTTCTTGTTAGAGTGCCTGCATAGCCAGGGAGCTAGGCCCAGACTGTACCCATTTCTGACCCACCCAAGGCCCAGCCCAGCAGAATCCCAAAGGTCCCTTCCTCCCACCCAGGCTCTAACTGAGTGTTTGGAGACTGGGCAGGGACTTCAGCCCCGACAGGTATGTCGTGGGTGGCACCAGGTTCAGTTAGGTAGGCAGAGTCCAAAGATCTGGTTATCCGCAGAAAAATCTAACTAAATGGGAACTTGAAGAGATCACTCTGTTTTCTTGAGTCTAACGCAGATTTCTTTTGTTGCAGCACAAAGACCCACTTCCCCTGAGCATTCTTTTTTCTAGGCTTTAGGAGCTTTCTTACTGTGGTACAGTAGTTCATTCTTCAGACCTTACTTCTCAAAGTTCATTTTAGAGCCCCAATCTCTGAGAGTTTATGGTAATAAGATCTCCATATTGTAGTGCTTGGGCAGGGTAAACTATGCTACCTGCTTTACAAATATTAGTAAATTAAATCCTCACAACAATCTTTCAGGTGTTATCTCTGTTGTAAGGTGAAAAAACTGAGGCTTGAAGGCTACGCAACTTGAATTTTAATCCTATGCTTTCTGACCCTAGAGCCCTTCGTGACTACTTGTGCTAATAATTAACATTCAAACCATACGCAGGGCACATCTAGGTTTGGTGGGGCCTGAAGCTTGTACAATTTGAAGCCCTCTCTAAGGAAAAGGATAAAGAATTAGGAGTACAAAATTAAATTCAGAGCATGGGAAGGGACTCAAGCTGAACTTCTTTTTATGAATCCTTTCACCTACAGACTCTCATTTCATTGTCATTTGGCCTCATTCAACTTAAGGAGGAAACTAGATGTCCAAGGTCACACAACTCATGGGAGGCCAGAGCTAGAACTGGAGGCCACTGGCCACAGCTGTGTCTTTAAGAGACAAATTCCAGGCAGATGTTGATTGGAAAGCCAGACACGCCTGAACAAAAGCAGCTGTGATAGCAGAGTTTCTCTAAAGTGTTTGGGGAGAGGACACTTGTCCCTGTCTGCCCTTGGAGCAGCATTTGTTCCCAAGCTGTGACTCTCAGAGCTGCCCAGCCTCTCTCCACAGACCACTTTGTGGTCCAGAGCCTCCAGGGGTTAGGAGATGTGGAACTAAGGAATAGAAAGCTGACCTGGATTGAATAGTTAGCTTGCTCTCCTTCCAGTTGGCTGCTGGGTCCTCCACCTCATCCTTGGAGAAGGGGGAACAGCCAGGACCAGGAACCCAGGGGCCAGGGTGGACACTCAATGTGGACAGGGGTCCTGCCTGAAATAGCTTTGAGAGTTCTGTCATGACAGATGGGCTCTGTGCCAGGTGTTATCTCTTTGGCCATCCCAAACAGGAATGACCAGCATGTCCGATCCCGGGCTTGGGAGCAGGAAAGGGATGAGGGATGGTTTTTCCACTGTGGGGGAGTTTCCAGGGGGAATGTGGAAGTGGGAGCAGGGGGCATCTGGTAGGGGGAGGGCCCAAGCTAAGGAATTTGGAGGAGTGTCAGACAGATCTGGGGGCTTCCCTGGGAGCTCAGCTGGTAAAGAATACACCTGCAATGCAGGAGACCCTGGTTTGGTTCCTGGGTCAGGAAGATCTCCTGGAGGAGGGCATGGCAACCCACTCCAGTATTCTTGCCTGGAGAATTCCCACGGACAGAGAAGCCTGGCAGGCAACAGTCCATGGGGTTGCAAAGAGTCGGACATGACTGAGCACAGCACAGCAGACAAATCTGGGGGAGATGGAATAGAGGTGGAGAGATGAAGGGACTGGAAGGGTCTCTGGGCTGGAGAGATGCGGAAAGAGAAATCCACAGTTCAGTGGCATTATCATCCGCAGCATCATCTCACCCCTCAATTGACTTTATCAGGCCAACTCTTCCCTGTAGAGAAGGGAGCCACTAGAAATGTTGACCCAGAGAACAGCATGTGTAATGAGGAGTTTGAGACCATATTTTGATGTCTGACTGCTGACACCTCTTCAGCTGTCCCCTCTCCCTCTTCAGCTTGAGAGCTGTGCTGCCTCCTTTGGTGTCCGTGGGAGATTTGAACCATGCAAGCCCCTTTCCTCACAAATGCTCCCCCAATTTCACTCCCTCATCACAGTAAAAACCCCAGCCAGTCTCCTTTCTTCCCTCTCTCAAGCCATTTTGGACCTGCTTGAGGAACCAGCCCTGCTCCTCCAGAGACCTCAATTACATAAATAATAAAACTTTTCATTCCCTCTTGGCGTGGGTGTGACATCATCAGTCTTGACATTGAACCAGATCTTGGATGGGGGTCCACCTGTCTCTTTTGGTGACCATGACAACATACAAACTGTGGGTCCTGCTGTAGAATGAGGGAGGCTTCCTGAAGGAGGACAATCTGGACAAGTGAGAAGGAAAGGACTAGCAAGAGGGAGCCTCAAGAGAGAGGAAAGCAGAAGAGTCAGGGCTTAGCTTGGGGTACAGTTTTCCCAGTTGTAACATGAAAGCATCAGATGCTGTAAAGGACCTTCCATTTATTCCATTTATGTATTCATACCAGCTTTCCTCTGCACCCCGGCCCATGCAACACTCCGCTTGCCCCCATCTCACTCTCCCAGATCCCACTTGCTCACTCACTTCTCACAGGAAAGTCAGCACGCATATGGAGAGATATGGATGGAGTAGAATTGTGGTGCCAAAGGGGCTGAATGCAGGCTATCTTCTGCCCTCTCACCTTGTACAAGTTACATGTTGCCTATGTGACTATTTGTTTCTGAATGTTTTATGTACATTTGAATTCAGAAAGGAAGCTAATGTTTGTTGAGCACCTACTGTGTAACCACCCCTTTATGTATATCTTATAATAGCCTTATGAGGTGAAGATGTCACCCACTTTACAGCTGAAAATACTGAGATGCCCAAGGTACCTCCCCCAGGTACCCTGCTTCCCCTGTGCCCCGATCATCTTGGCTGCCTTCTGTTCTTCCAGGACACTACAGCTTAGAAGTCACATCCTCCAGGCCTCAGTTTCCCCATCTATGAAATGAAAGAGCTGGAAGAAATCCCTTATTATTCCTCACCTGGCATCCCTGTGTCCCAAGGCTCCTAGTATTTGTTGAACTAAGTGGACCAAATCTCAGCTATTGAATTAAGACTCAGGTCCCTGTCTCTGACTTGAATTGAAAATGCAAATTATTGGGGAGGGAGCGGGAACAGTGAAGCATGAATGGGTTTATCAGATTTCCTTTCTCCTATGACCCAGATATGGGGGCAGAACAGGCACCCAGGCCAAACAACTTCTCTGGCTCAGAATCTTGTCAGTCTCAAGCATTCATTGACAGCCTGCTATGTACTGGCACAGAGCTGAGAACCTCCAGAGGCTCAAAAACAAATGAGAGCATCTTCAGGAGGCCAGGGTTTCATCCTGGCCTCACATTCTGAAAGCTCTCAGATTTTAAGAGGCTAAATCCACATTGCATTATATTTTAGGGCTGGTGATTACGGAACAATGGGTGGTTGTTAGAAAGAACATTCTGGCTATAGCATGAAGTTGGCATTGCCAGGAGGAACTGAGCTGGGAGGGCAGCTGTAATAATTTGGGCAATGGGTGAAGTGGGATGAAAAGGGGCAGAAGGAGGGAGGGAGAGAGAGTAAGAAGGCCCCAAGGTGCTGATCTGACTTGGACTTAGGTAAAGGTGTGTGTTGGGGGAGGGGCAGTATGCAGGGGGTAGGGGAAGGAGAGAACAGAGTGACTCCCACAGGGGCCTGGTGAGTAGGCCCCAGACATCAGGAAAATTCTGTGCTAGCCAACCGCTTTGCCTTTCTAGTTCCTCTGACCCTCTACATGGTTCCCTTGCTGTCCCCCATAGCCTAGGCCTTGCTGCACATGCCTT